TGAAATGATTGGTCTTTATTTTATGGTGCTCTCTGTTCAATACCAAGTACAAGGAAATTTATTGTGTGAACCTTTTTTAGTTGTTTGTTACATTGATATAACAGTGTGAGTGTTGATTCCTCATTTTTCGTCTTTCTTATGGAATGATTTCCCCCTTTTTCCCTCCCCTTTCGTTTCACTTCTGTCATTGTTTGGTATTTTGTTTTCAAGTTGTTTTGTTTAGAAGTACAGTGGTGTAACCTATTTTCGTGGATATAAGGATTCAACAATGAATTAAAAAAACGAAAAAAAATTTTTATGTCTTAGATGTTTCCTCAGATATTCTACAAAATAATAAAAATTGGTTTGTTTCGATTTTCTTTATTAATCCTTCACTTTGACCCATATTTCATGAGCAACCCACTCGGTAACGGTGGCAGAATGCGTCACCTATTTTCGTGTACAATGTTTGATCTATAAATAAGTCTATAAAAACACGTTGTATGGATACCGGGTGGTATAATTAACTTCTCTTAGTATTTATCTTTAATATCAATTCATTATAACTAGTGACAATTCCTTCAAAGAACCACGATTTAAAAAAAAATAGTGACTGACAAAATAAGATACGTAGCGTGATTTATTGCTAAAAGTCACTGAAATAACATAAGAATATGGTCCACTTTGTGTTCCATAGAAATTTTCTGCCGACACGGAATCCGCTAGTTGATGACGTGACTTCATTCGTTGGACTACATTCTAGCAGACGACACTTGGAATTCCGATTACCGCTTGGGATTATAAGGAAATTCGGCCGATAAAAAATGGTGACGTTTGGTAATAACTGAAATCCGCCATTTTGTATTTGTCAAAGTATACATTAATACATTTTACCTTGCTTGAAACAACTCGATTCATTCTACTAGCTGATATTGTAGAGAAAACCCATGTTTATCAAAACAAACTAATGTGGAGATCGCGCAAGGTCGCTCATGTAAATTATTAATCCTTTCCGGAAATCCACGAATAATAGGTTTCCACGAAATTAGGTTACTTGACTGTATGACAGATATCATTATTGGAGTGATGAGGGACAAGAGATTGACAATTTTTACAATCGAACTCATGACACAATTTTCAGTGCAATTGATATTTTCGCTATGCTGAAGCTTTATCTTTAGTCAATGATGAAGACTGTTAGCCTAGGTCAGATTAGACTTATAGATTTGAAGCTGCTTAAATGTTGATGCTAATGTATCATTAATGTTGATATATCATTTGAACTTATTAGAATATTTATCTTCATTATTAAAATACATGTAAGCTCAGTTTTTGCTCATGACTGAAAGTTGTTTAAGGCTCATCTATATTTATGTGAATTACCAATGTTTCTTAATTTATCAAAAACAAAAAAATGGTAGGACAAATTGTTGGTACAAATAGAAGTTTGATTTGTTACTAAATGTACTTGCTTGACATGACTGCTAAATATGACCCAAGCTACATTTCTGTTTCTAATACTTATATGGTGTATATAATGCTTATTATTTAATATAATAGTACATGTATATCATTATATAGACCTACTACAGCTCGTAATAATAGTTCTTTCTCTGTTTAATGATCAGTTAAATATCATTCCAATAAATATTGAAATATTGACTAAGTAGTATTAATGAACTTGTAGATGTAGCGTGACTTAACTTATTCACGAAGTGTCAGTTTGAATGAAAACTATTTGCTTATACCATTTGGAAAATCCACTAAGACTTAGCATCTTGGTTTAACATTTTTATTAAAAGAAATAATGATGAAAATGAAATTGTTTGTGATAAATAATGTTTGTTGTAATGTATATGTGTATTTAATATGATAAATCATGATTGTATATATTTATATACTATGAAGAATAATCCAAATATTATAATAAATACTAACGTACCTTTCAGTGAACAGAGAAATAACTATTTTTATTTGAAATAACAAGAATCCATTGCTAAAAGTATGAAACTTAACTCCCTTTAAGCTTTTTGGTTATGGGAAGCCTGTTAATGGTTGTTTGAGTGATTTTGATTAAGTGTATTTTTATGTTAGGTTAGCTTTTAGTCTGAGTTATTTAACAAAATGCTTATATTTGTACTTAATTTGCTTTGAAATGTCTCTACGCTAAAAAAATCATCCATTTTGAATTTGTAAGACTTTTAGAGACAAATTCTATGCAAGACAAATACTTATGTAGAATGTATAAATATGAATTTTGTACAGTTAAATATATGTACATTTATTTTGTTTATAGAAATAATAATTTGTATACTTGTACTATACAATAGTTTACTTATATTATTATACATTAGATATACAAACAAAAACAATAGTTACCCAGTAGTATAGATATACAGATGATTGTCAGCAGTGTAGTCAGCCCACCTGTTTGATATTACTATCTGAAAAAAAGGGCTAATTTGAATGAGTTTTTTTAATCATCAACCAACACATTGTGAAATCATTCCCACCCAAATTCCAATATATGTAAGAAATTGTCAACAATTTAAGTATGAATTTGCTGACGGAAGTGTTTTCCTAAAACTAATTTCATTCAATGATATGATTATGGTCCTATCATTTCCAATGCCTTCAGATTTCTTCATTAGTATATCTTGACGAGTCAAATATGGCAGATACTGTCTGTGTTTTGTCTCATAGATTAAAGTATCCAAATTTTATTGTGAATTTTGTGCCAGAAAGGACAGTTCCTCAAAGATACTATGGCTGTATTTGACTTATTGTCTTTATATGTGGCATAAACAATATTCAAGATTGTCATTGGTATTTAAGTTGTATTAAAATATTTTAAGCATATTTGAGATAAATATCCCTTTTCTGTGATTCATTGATAGCATATTTCATAACAAACTGGGTTAGATTTATATGATCAGAAAATATTTGGAATTGACCATCTCTGGTCAAACTAAATAGAGCTGTCAATTTGATCAATCAGTTCTATGAATTGTTGATTATGTATGACGTTTCTGAGAATACCCTTATTGTGTTAGTCTTCCCTTATGCTTCCAATGTTTTGTTTAATCATTAGATATCAGCTCAAACTTTAGTTTCACCAGTTGATTTTCAAGATTGTTAATGAATTTGTTTGCTGTGATGTTATTACTTATTTACAGTTAGAAATGGCATTATATATCATCAGATATCAATTCTTATTAATATTAAGCTTTACCTGTGCACTTTTCAGAAATATTCACAAATGATTAGTTACTTGGATTAATTAACAGGAATTTGTTTGGTTGATCATCAATATCTACATTTATTATTGTTATACCCTTACTTGGGCCAAGTAATTTTCTTTGTGTATGGTAACAAGAAAGTAGCAAGTATTGAACTTTAAATGCTGAGGATCGCAATCAAGAATCTTGAATTGTATGATGTCAACCTTGTTCAGCTGACAATTAGTTGTAACAAATGACAATTCTTCAATGAAATCCTTAGTCCTATCAATATAAGAAACATTCTATTTTTAAAATGAAACTGATGGATGAACAGTTAGTGATGGTCTTGTAAACCAAGTCTATATTTTATCTTACTAGTTTATTATTTATTTATCAACTTTAGGCTAACATTTTGTTTAATATTTTCTATTTATATTTATGTTTTTATACTAAAATCTGATTCATATATTATAGAGAATCTCAAAAAGTGTCTGATCATATCCTTAGCAATAATTCTGGGTGTCCGTATAAATAAAGCATAGAATATTTATGCATAGATGTGCGCATAGCTATGATGTTTAAATGTTTATGGATACTCCCTGGACTTCGACTAATTCAATGTGCAATTATTACAAATTTCAGATGATTTTTAAGCTGTTTATATTTGCTTCCTAATATTATAAAAAAAACAATTTAGGTGATATATTGTATGACATAGAGCCAAAATGATGATGTTTGCTGGCTTTTAGAAGTTCGTAACCACTATTAGAATATATTGTGAGAAAACTATGTTAGATATACACACACTGTATATAGCACAAGCTCTCGCTTTTCCTCACAATTCATATATTTTGTATATTTTTTCCCTGCTACAGTCTTTTTTAAAACTCTTTTCTCATTGTATAAGAAGAATTAAACATGTCAAAAAATAAAACATGTATATTAATCTTTTCTTTTTTATTACTAGAATATTGATATCATTGAGTTGATGATATTCTTGGTTAGATCCAAGCACTGATCTGGGGAGTTGCTCTAGAATGTGCTGGTTTGTTGTAGATCAGGATGACAGATGACAAACAAAAAATCAATGTATGCACAAAGTTGTCATGACACGAGCAACACTCTGACTCAAATATTGTCAATATCATGAGGTACCATAATGAAAATTAATTTTGACCTGGCAGCTGAAAGGCAGAGAACTGGCTGCTGGATAATAATTTTGAAAAGTGTTACAGATAGATGAAATGGAGTTGTATGATGTAAAGTAAATGTTATGACTGCAATCTCAGATTGATGAAACAAGATAAAAATGATCACAAATATCTTATATATAAAGCACATGCAACACCTTAGATCTTGACAAAACAAAACAAACTTTCATAGTAACATCTAATCTTGATTATATTCTTCTGAGACCTACAGAAGATACTTTGTACAAGGTAACAAAAAGATATATTTTATTTTTAAAAAGATATAATATTAAAGAGTAATATAGAAATATATAACAATATAATATTGAAATGTATTAGAATGTTCCAATAAATATCCACAAGGAAGTAAATGGTTAAATAACAGTGTTCACATATTATCATCCAATCTTGATTGTGTTGCTCATTTCAACCAAAATCTTCATTCAATGTAAACTTAACTTGCTTTTAACTGTTGATATTCTGAAAATAATAAAAATTTCTAAAATTAATTTGGCTAAAGCCACATGAATAAATCAGCAAATGACTGAATGGAAGGCAAGAATTATGTGTAAGGAATGCGCATCAGGCATGTTTGTGAACCAAAAACTGTTTAAGATTTCAATGATAGTGAAATAAATATTAATAATACCTGTAAAGTTCTTAAAACATGTTCCACATTAGGTCTGTCATTGGATGCTTTACTACAATATACTAACTTCATTTTACCTTCTTTATCAATTATAAAATCACCTCCCATCTACAACATACATTCGATACTTAGTCTGGAGCAACATACAGGTCTTGCACATTTGTAATCTAGCCAAATTTACCGACATTTACTAACATTAATTAGTAAATAATTTTAAAAAGTATTAGAAATGTACAAAAATGGCATAATTCTTTCAAAAATACCTCAAAATTGGAATTTCACTTTCTATTTCTAGTCTCAAGAATTCTGGAAACATGGATTTGAAGACTCAAATTAACTTTAAAATTCTGAAACTTAAGTGAGATTGATGAAACAGATGTGAATCTGTCACTTTAATACCATAAACTGCTTGGATTGGCAAACCAAGGAAGGTAGCACAGTCTACCATTTTAAACATTAAGCACATATAAATTGAATAACTGTATACCTGTATGGGATCATCATGGATATGTTGGTATGGTTTGGGTAAATCTCTACCTTGTGCCATTTGTTCCCCATAATAAATCATACATGATATACTCCAAACCTGTTAACAGTATAAACAAACTTGTCATGTACTTTAACAAGAAAACTGCAAACTAGAACAAATACATGCACTCAAGTATTGAACAAATATTGATTAATATAACATTTTCTAATAATAATATTTATACAGATATATTTTGAATTGTAAGAAAAAAGCAATATGACCAGTTCTTTAACATGATAAGATTAAAATACCAAATAGAGAATTGATACCTTTGAAACTGATCTATTTAATCCAAAGGCACGATAGACCTGAAAGACATTGTAAAATTGTATTTAATAAAACTCTTGTGAGTAATTCTATTACAACAACAAGTAACAAACATTTTCAGATATATTAACAATTATAATAGAGATTTTTCTCTGATTGGATATAACACATAAAATTGAGGTGTTTAGTGTTACTCTATATTTTTAAAGAAGAATTGGCAGAATGTACAAAATTACAATTTGAAAACAAAAACAAGAATTTAAATAAACTGAAAGGTATTGGTGTTATATTAGTTTAATAAAATATTTCATAATATAAAACAAAGAGAACATGACTTACTTTTCTCTCCTGATCTAACAACATATCATAGCTACATTTCATATCTTCTAACCATTTAATACCACCTTCTTTCATACCAAACGAGATCAATAACACTTTACTTCTACCATCAGATATTCTATCCTAAAATACACAGGATTCTAAATTTCACCATTTACAGCATATTACAGAACACATGACAAATTGATCACTCTGTTTTGGATAGTATATTATTATTTCTTTACATTTCTCATTTTTCATCAGGCCAAAAGAGATTTCTACTATAATTGTTATTTAACACGAACAGATCAAATTTTGAAAACATGAGTGATTATATGGTAGGAAAATGGACCTTCTGTGCGTAAAATGCAACATACAAAAAAACACTCAAACCAATCTGATAATGCTTTGAATAAATGGCATGTAATAACTTATGACTAATCAAAATGATCCCAGCTCAGATTTAGACATAGTGTTTTTTACCTGATTGGCCATAAGTTGTGTGACATGATCTCGTCAGGGTAGTCAGGCAAAATGACGCAGTAATATTAATAATAGACTGGAGGTGTCTGATGTTAGGTATTGTTTTAGTCTAACTTCTTCATCAGTTCTACAGTTAATTATTGGTATATCTAGAGGACCTTGATCATCTTCCTTAATAATATTATCATTATCTTGTTGAAAACATTTATCAATATCTAATAATATATCATCCCATTCTCTCTACAATAACAAAACATAAAATTAATGATTTTGATGTGAAAACATTACAAATTCTGTATCAAAATCTCTGTTCTCAGATTTTTTACAATATTTCTCTAAAAATGATTAAATGTATGTACTCACTTCAGTTTGATGTAGGTTTTCAAAGGCTTCTTCATTGTGTCTGTGAATAAACAAGAAAAATAAATGATAAATATACGGCTACAATGCTTCACTGAAACTCAATAAATTGTCAGATTTGTTGAAGAGATGATGTACAAAACCGTACTGCACAAATATCGAATGGTTTGACTTCAAGGCATCAGGCACTATTGACCTTTTAAGTGCATTGGAAATAACTGCATGTAACAATGTCAAAAACCCCTGTAGGTGAAAACTTTGTCTTTGTATTTTTATTGAATTATAGGAGAACTTGACACTGGATTCTCATTCTGGAAAGTGATCTGCATGGATGAATTTGAGCCCTACTAGTTGGTTAAGGAAAACTATGTGACTATTAGAAAATTTCTAATAAAAATCTTACCTGTAATAAGGTTTAATCAATCTTTCAAACCCATCTTTAGTCTTCACTCCTAAACTTTAAAACAAAAGTATAATCTTTAATTGAAAATGTGATTTTACGAATAATGTTTTAACACCTCAATACATTCGCCTCCAGATTCAAAATCTATACATATCAGCATGGTTTTTGGATATTTAATTCACCTCTGTTTTAACTCTTTAAAATAGAGTTATAGTGTGCTATTGTAGAAAACATCAACTAAATTCACCTTTGAAAGGACTGACTGTAAACTTGAGCTAATTTAAATAATTTACTGATGTCTTTATTTACAAAGTCTTGTACATTTTCTAAAAAATAACAAAGAAAATAACATAATAATCATTGACATAATATTCTACTTTTAATTACTGAATGTGACATAAGCCCATGAACTGTAGAATTTTTCTCACATACAAACAGACCTCAATAACCAATGATAATGTATTTTCCATTTCCAAACCAGGTGTCCTGATGAGGATTTTATATCTGAAATGTGTTAGAAGCATCAGATGATTTCTTGTCAAGTAAATGACCTTTATCTTACCTGACATACTTTTTCTGACCTCTCGTAAAATATCACATTCTGTTTCAACTAAACTTTGCAAAGTTTTTAATATCAACTGCTCATCTGGGGGTTCATCTTTTAAACTTTTAGAATCCATTTTTCTCTTTCACCTCAATAGGTTTCTTCAATCTTTAGACACAATGCTTTGATTAAATTTCTTATCACCAGTGACCTGAATAATTGAAGATGGTTGTGATATACAACCCTGTCAAGTTAACTTAGTTATTTACTTTAATGACATAGGTTTTAGCCTCCATTATCAGATAAGATAAAGTACTTTTTTTCTTTTAAAAAAGAATGCCATGTTTTTTTTTTATATCTTTTATATATTGAATCTGATTTTCAAGATTAGACTTTACATTCATTTGTTTTTGATATGGTATTGGAACAAACATTATGGTATACAAAAACCCAAAAAACAAAAGGTGCTAACAACATTTCAATTTAAGATTGTTTAAAGTTGATAAACTAGAACACAACATATTACAACAGCAATAGGAAGCATCTTTAACTTTAAGAAATCCCATACATGGTGATCTACATCTATCCTTTTTCCCAGTTATAAGTGTTTGAAATGGTGACATGGTTTAAGCTTTTTGACAAACAAAACCCATTTTGTAAGTTTATGACTTTATATTTATGAGGATATGCCTAGTGCCTTAATTAACTAAGTCTGATGATATCTTTCCTGTAGTAGGCAAGGCTAAGTAAGTAAGCATTGACACGGTCTCAGATAATAAATTTAGTTTCTGTTAAAGTGCAACATGTAGCCTATAAGTTGTCTTTTTCTAACAAGGCGATAAGCAATCAAAGTCATCAAGGCAAAGAGAGTGTAAATCTAACTCGTGCCAGTGCCTTATATTGAATAGTAACTTGTTACTCTTCAATCACCTTGAGAGGTATTAAAAGCTCAACAGTTGCTGAAATCTCTGCTAAAAATAATTCGATTCTTTTGCCAATACCAAATTCTTCAGTTTATCCTTGTAACAACCCTCGCTGTCAAACCTGTCCCTTCATTTTACCAACAAATTCTTTCCGAAATAGACGCACAGATTCCATATTTCAAGTAAATGAAAAACTCAACTGCAACAGCAAAAATATTATTTATCTCATTTCTTGCACAAAATGTGATGAACAATACGTTGGGGAGAAAAAAAATTCGTTAAGGGTCCGTTTCAACCATCATAAGTCTGACATCAACTTAAAAAAAATTAATAAAACCGTTTCAAAACACTTCAATCAACCCGATCACCAATTAACAGACCTGAAAATTATTCCCATTGAACAGATAAACGAACAACCTGGCATTGATACAAAGAAAATTTGACTCATTCGCGAAAATTATTGGATAAACAAATTACAAACCATGCATCCTTTAGGAATGAACATCCAAGTTGATTTCCAAATTATACCTTTTGTTATTCAATACAACAACACAGCTGGTCAAGTTCCCCGAATAATTATCTATCTTTACAAAGAATTGCAGGAAAAATTTCCAACACTCTTTACAAATGATTTAGTTATCGCCTATACCCGTAATAAAAATCTAAATGATATCTTAGTCCGTGGTAGATTACCCCCCATCCCCCTTCCATAGGTTTAGTACATTTCCTTTAATTAATATTTCTTATTTATGATAACTTGCAATTGAAGAGTTTCCTCGCAAAAATATCATACATGTATACTATTTTCACTTAATAAATTATATATATTTTTTATATGAAATACGCATTTTCCTTTTCATTTAATATAGGACAATTCCTCAGTTTCACCAGTGAAAATGTTTATTATGATTTCCATGGTTATTAATGTTCCTGTTGGAACCAGTATTCTTCTTATATATTCCAGATTCGGAAGATAATGGATTAGCATTTCAAATATTCTATATCATTCTTTTAAACTAACTTCACAAACATTGCTCTATCACTAGAGGTTACGCCTGCATGCCTGTGCCTGTGCTTTCGTAACATTGCTTAACCGCAATATTACAACCTTAAATTCCTAATCTCTAATCTAAGGGTCAGAGATTTTCGGACTACTGAAAATGACAGCGTAAGAGCAAAATCATTTTTAAACCTATTGAACCCATAGATCAAAAACAAAAGATCTGTTTATGTAGAAAATAAAACTAATGAAAGGTATAATCTTTAATTGTACCATAGAGTTGAACTGTTGATTTGAAGATGCATCGAACTTGAAAAATATTATTCTATTTTAAGAATCGGAAGGTATTTCCCCGATGACGTTTAGATGCATTATGGGAGCTGGGATTACGTGGCATCAAAGCTGACTAGAGTGTGAAGTTTCATGTAGAAATTACATCGTCATTTCTTTAAACTAAACAGTTTTAACATATACTTGGCTATAAAGGTAATGTCTAAGGCTACCTCACCTGTACGTTTTTAACTTCATAACCTGGTTTTTGATTTTATATTGAAATTACGTTCTACTAGACTACCGGCGACCGTAGGCCTAATATTTTTGATCTTCTCAATTTCAGCTGTTCAGTGTTGACTGGACTGACAGTAGTAGACCTAATCCTGCAATAATAAATGAATGTGGCTTCCTCTTGAGTTATTTGACCTGAGACGATCCGAGACATAGAGTACGTGGCTAACTAGTTTCAGACTGAATTGACACTGTTACTTTTTTTGAAATAGGTTTTGTTGCCTTATTTTGTTTTACATATAGGCCTAACCCGTGCATATTTTATATGACTATGAGTGTTTTCATACTTTTGGAGGATACTAATAACAGCTGTTAGTTTTTGTATAATTAACAATGAGTATTAATTGATACTTTTCTAAAACACAACTTTATTTTACTATTATTGTTCTTGTTGAACTGGACATTCAAAGGAACATGTAGACAAAGGTGCTGGTTTCTTCAATCTTGACTAACATTGATGTGATATAATAATCTAAGCTAATTCACTCAGAGCCAAAACCATAATGTTGGAATTATATCAGAAATCGTGATTGAGAAGGTTAGTTAGTAGTCCTGCTATAAGCTTAGTCAGGTTATGAAAATAATTGAATTACCTTTTTTTCATTTTTTTTTTATTGAAGGATATCTATAACCAGAGCAATGGCAGGTTTACACAAAGTGTTACTTCATGAGCAGGAATGTAAATACAAATTTGTCATAACAGCATAAATTTTAATGCTATATTTGAACCCAAAATAATACATAAGGAACATGTATTTGTACAATCTAGTTTATCTCAGGCGAGGGGTTCAGTTTTTTTCTGGATTAGAGTTCATATTATATGATTCCTTATACTACATTATTTCAGTGAAGCCATGACTACCTACCAAGAATTTATACAACAGAATGAAGACCGGGATGGTGTACGATTCAGTTGGAATGTCTGGCCATCAAGTCGGTTGGAAGCTACCAGAATGGTGGTGCCATTAGGATGTTTATATACACCATTAAAAGATAGAGCTGATTTACCTCCTATACAATATGATCCTATATTGTGTACCAGACCAACATGTCGAGCTATTCTCAACCCTTACTGGTAAGTATAATTATATTATATATCTATATTCTTGTGCCATATCAGTACTATGACCACAAGGCTGAACTGTTATTATTAGAAATAGTTTTTATGGAATTAAGTGTAGGTTATCATTTTAATGACTTGGTTTTACTAATGATGCATTTCTACAGCAACAGACTAAAATCTTTTTATATTTAAAGATAAATTGAGTAATCTTTAAATTTTTATATAATACCTAGACCAACTATTTCTGTTTTTCAGTCAGATTGATTACAGAGCTAAAATGTGGGCTTGTAACTTCTGTTATCAGAGAAACCCGGTAAGTACTGCTACTGTACTGCAACTGCCGTTTAGATATGAATTGAGAATATGATAAGTTCAGATAGTATAAATATAATGATATTTGTATTTTGTAAATGAATATACTGACAGGTCAACTTTCAATGAAGTGATAATTGGATATTTTTATACTCCAGTTTCCACCACAATATTCAGCTATATCAGAACAGTGTCAACCTGCAGAAATTATACCTCAATTTTCTACCCTAGAATATACTATCACAGTAAGTTGATGTAATTTCTAAATAATTTTTTATCTAATGGTTAAAACTCAATTTCAGTTTTCTGTATCATTTTGCAGTAATAAAATGTTTTGCAGTTTAGAATATGGTCACTTCCAGATTATTAACAACATTTGAATGTACAGGTATTGAATCAGTATGTGTAATATAGCTACATGAATTCCAATAAAACTTTATGTTACTATAAGTATAATATATTTATTATTATAGAGAGCCAGCTGTTCACCACCTATATTTCTAATAGTATTAGATACATGTATGGAGGAAGAAGATCTTCAAGCTTTAAAGGTATAAATTGTTAAATGTCTACGATAAAGATTCACTAATTTATATTACTTTATGGATATTAGTGACTTTTTAACATGCTTATTGTGTACTATGTTTAGGAATCACTACAGATGTCTTTGAGTTTATTACCACCTAATGCCCTCATTGGCTTAATAACTTATGGTAAAATGGTACAAGTTCATGAGTTAGGAAGTGAAGGAGTTTCTAAAAGCTATGTGTTTAGAGGAACTAAAGATTTGAATGCTAAACAGATACAAGATATGTTGGGTATTGGTCGTGGTGCTGCTCAACCACAACAAAATAGAGGTGGACCTCAAAATCCACAATCACAGCAACTCCCTTCTAACAGGTAGGTTACACTTAATTTGGTGTTAAGATTGTGTTTGCTATTAACTCGTGTAAATTTTTTATTAAGGGCAAGTGGCTACTCTGACATTTTTTTAACTAAAAGGATGAATTGACATTTTGAGCTCTAAATTTTAAAATATAAAACAGTAAGATATGTAATAAATAGATTTCACTTAGCCTGCCTTTTTTTACTCTGTAGATTTTTACAACCAGTACATAAATGTGATATGAGTTTAACTGATCTGTTAGGAGAATTACAGAGAGATCCATGGCCAGTTTCACAAGGTAAAAGACCATTAAGATCTACTGGTGTGGCTCTATCTATAGCTGTTGGTCTATTAGAGGTAAGTATTCTATATTCAATTGTTATTTTTTAAGTTGATAAGTGGCTACAATGCAATTTCAAACTGAAATTGACTAGCTCAAATTATAGAATAATATAGGCAATGTAGTCTTTTCCTTAAGGTTTTATATTTTTATATGCCCACATTGTGGATGTAAATTGTCATCACCCCTGTCCCATCCACTATTGGCTTGTGAGCGCAGTATAGGCCGCTTTCGTTGTCAGTTATTTTTAATCAAATTTGGCGTGTATGTTTATATCCACAATGAGTTGGAACAATTCTAAGCTGAACACCATCAATCTTTACTTAATTACAATACAACTCATGAAATACTGAAAAGTTGTTGGGTAATTGGGGAATCTTACTTGACAGCTACTTGTTGAATCTGTAATTATATGGATATATATATTTTATTACAGTGTACTTTTCCTAATACTGGTGCTAGAATTATGTTATTCGCTGGAGGATCCTGTACACAAGGTCCTGGTATGGTAGTAGGGGATGAATTAAAACATCCCATCAGATCTCATCATGATATAGAAAAAGATAATTGTAAATACATGAAGAAGGCTATGAAGGTAAAATTTATTATTTGTTAATATTTTGAATGCTTAATCTCCATCAATACAATTTTTAGTTTTTTTGTCTAGCAAGATTTACCCTTTTTGTGTTAATGAAACATTTCTTTGTATTATTTTACAGCATTATGAAGCTCTATCAAATCGTGCTGCTAATAATGGTCACGTGATAGATATATATTCCTGTGCTTTAGATCAAACTGGTTTACATGAAATGAAATTCTGTCCTAAATATACCGGGTAAGTATTATTATTAAATATAGCTCTCTGATCCACAGGTATTGTGCTCTGATAAAGTATAAAAGATATTGGATTACTTTCATTTGTATGAAAAGTTTGACTATCTGATGAAGGTTTAAAGAGGGAAGGTCTATGATGTACCAGAAATTCAAAAAAAATTACTTATAATGCTACTAGTTCCATAAATTTTTTATTTTTTTCAGTGGTCATTTGGTAATGGGAGATTCTTTTAATACATCATTATTTAAACAAACATTTCAACGTGTGTTCTCTAAAGACAGTAAAGGGGAATTTAAAATGGCTTTTGGTGCAACAGTGGAAGTTAAAGTAAGTAATCATACAATTGAATATCTAAATAAGTCCAATCACAAGTGGAAGCAAGATCTGTTTCCGATATGACCTAGATATTTAGTGTTCCATCAAAAATCCTTGTTTTTAGGTGTCTGTATCTATTTATGTATTTTGATGTAGTTCTCTAACTCTATTTTCAGTGTTCTAGAGAAGTTAAAGTATCAGGTGCTATGGGACCATTAGTATCATTAGGTGTTAAAGGACCAGCTGTTTCAGATACTGAAATAGGTCTTGGTGGTACCTGTCAATGGAAATTATGTGGTCTCTATCCAAATACATCTTTAGGGCTTTTCTTTGAAGTAGTGAATCAAGTAAGTCGTGTGGAGTAATTATGGTTTCTTAGTCAGTATTGGACTACACTTTATCTTGACATTGTGCATATTATTCTGTTGAAGTAATCAGACAGTGTTGTTATCATTAGTTACCAAATAATCATATAACCTATAATAGATACCTAATGAAATAATATTTGTAATGTCTACAAAAGTGAATCCCATTATACAAATTAAAATGGAATTTAATGTTAATAAATCATAGGGCTGTTGAATTTTCTCTCAATCTTACAAAGAATTTTTTTCTACGATTGAAATAGCATAAATATTTGATTATTTCTCACAGCACAATGCACCAATACCACAAGGTGGAAGAGGTTATGTACAGTTTATAACACAATATCAACATAGTAGTGGTCAGAGACGTGTTCGTGTAACAACTATAGCTAGAAAGTAAGATTATTGTTTATATTCAACCAGACTAATGGCGTATTCATTTTTCCATTCATCTTTCATTTGTGATTCTTAAATAGTTGTCTATGTACATTGTTTTGTTTCATTTGTGAAGTATGGTGCTGAGCAAAAGTCATAAAACTTCTTTTCACCCCATTTATTTTTTTTTCCATGAGTTATCTCTAAATAGTTAATTTATGATTTTACAGCTGGGCAGATGCTAGTACCAGCCTACAACATATAGCAGCTGGTTTTGATCAAGAAGCCGCAGCTGTGTTAATGTCCAGATTAGCTGTTTATAGAGCAGAAACTGATGATGGACCAGATGTATTGAGATGGCTAGATAGAATGTTAATAAGACTGTGTCAGAAGTTTGGAGACTACAATAAAGATGATCCTAACTCATTTAGATTTTCTGAAAACTTTTCCTTATATCCACAATTTATGTTTCATTTACGACGTTCACAGTTTTTACAAGTATTTAATAACAGTCCTGATGAAACTTCATATTATAGGTTAGTATATTTTTCTTTTATACATTTGATTTTATAGAAAAACTCTGCTCAATGCCATTTGTATAGTGGTCACCTATAGTAATTGAACTGTCTCAATTCACTTCATGTAGAGATATTTATGGAGTATAAGTAAAAATACTGTTTATATAATATATATATTATTTATTCTATTGTATTTTGTAGACACATGTTAAATACAGAAGATTTAACTCAGTCTTTAATTATGATACAACCTATATTATATGCATATTCTTTCCATGGTCCCCCAGAGGTTAGTACCATACTCACATTCACTCAACTTTGAGTATCAAACAATTTATTACTTCTATGGAATAATTCAAATTTTTTCATCAGCAGTCTGTGGTTTCTGAAATTATAGAATGCTATTAAACTGTAGATGACATTACTATCGCGAAAGTCCAAAAGGAAAAAATGTTATTCTTTTCAAACGCTTCTAATTTCAGCCAGTATTATTAGATTCCAGTAGTATAACAGCAGACCGTATTTTATTAATGGACACATTTTTCCAAATAGTAATATATCATGGAGAGGTATGTTATACAATTTATATAGTATGTTTTGTCCAAATATTATTTAACAGTAACACAAATAAATCATATATTTGATCATTTGAAATAAGTAATAATTGGTTTTGATCATGTATTTAAGTGTTATATAATACATGTATATTATTTATTGTTTATTTGTAGACAATACATGAATGGAGAAAACAAGGATATCATGACTTACCAGAATATGAGAATTTTAAACAATTGTTACAAGCACCAGTAGACGATGCTCAAGAAATATTACAGACAAGATTCCCTATGCCAAGATACATTGTTACAGAATGGGATGGTTCTCAGGTAATTGTCTTATAATTGTACTGTCATAACTATTAAGATGAGGACATACATTCAAAGATTATTGGTTTGTGTACCATCATGTCAATTGATAGTATACAAATGTAATTTGCTGTGTAAAAGGAATATTGTATAAACAATCGCAGAATGGCATCAAGCTGTTACAAGCTTTAATGTAGATAAGCTAATGAAATTCATATAATGTAATCCAATTTTTAAAAAAAGCATGAGTATTTCAAGTCATTCAAGTCATAGACAGTGACAGTGTGGAGGTTCTTTTCATTTTAATATTTTAATGATTGTAATTTCAGGCCAGATTTTTACTATCTAAAGTTAACCCCTCACAGACACATAATAACATGTATGGATTTGGTCAGGTATGTAGTTATGTTTATATTTATTTTGTATCCAGCACAATTAAGTATTGCTTAGTTTTTGCAATTCAATATCTAGTATAAGCTTTTTATATTGCACTTGAACTTTTTATCCTATTTTTTTTTGTATTTTGTAATCAATTTCTTTTTCAATCAGCCATTGGATGGGGTGTGTATATTTTTTTTTAAATGTCTATTATTCCATTCTCATCGTTCCCTTGGCCATTTTCTATACCATACTAAAAATGAAGCATAACTTTTGGCAAAATTAGCTTCTTTACTGACATGAATTAGCTCACTGCAATGAGGCTCTTGGGAGAAAATGGAAGATTCTGCCTCCCTGTAAATTTAATTTCATGACAGGATCTAAATTTGGCCAGCTATACACTATCAATCAAATCATCTATCCATCATATTGGGAGAAGGAAATTTCTCTTAACCATATTTGGACATGGTTTTTAATGTATTTTTTTCTATGATCCCTATTAGATTGTAACATCATCTGAGGTAGAATTTTTTTGTAATTTATTTTATTACTTGGGTTTTAAGGTTAAATTTTGGTGTATGGTTCATACTTGATATATTAATTCAAATATAATTGATTTAATGAGAAAATAATTAAAACTGAATATCAAAGGTTAAATTTGGGCTATGGTTTATACCTGATATTTTTAGTCAAATCGTAATGAATTTAATGAGAAAATAATTAAAACTGAATATCAAAGGTTAAATTTGGACTATGGTTTATACCTGATATTTTTAGTCAAATCGTAATGAATTTAATGAGAAAATAATTAAAATTGTGAATATCAAAGGTTAAATTTGGGCTATGGTTTAAATGTGATATTAGTTAGTCAAATCTTAATGAATTTAATGAGAAAATAATTAAAATTGTGAATATCAAAGGTTAAATTTGGGCTATGGTTTATACCTGATATTTTTAGTCAAATCGTAATGAATTTAATGAGAAAATAATTAAAACTGTGAATATCAAAGGTTAAATTTGGACTATGGTTTATACCTGATATTTTTAGTCAAATCGTAATGAATTTAATGAGAAAATAATTAAAATTGTGAATATCAAAGGTTAAATTTGGGCTATGGTTTAAATGTGATATTAGTCAGTCAAATCTTAATGAATTTAATGAGAAAATAATTAAAATTGTGAATATCAAAGGTTAAATTTGGGCTATGGTTTAAATGTGATATTAGTCAGTCAAATCTTAATGAATTTAATTGAAGAAAATAAATTATACATGAAATTGTAAATAATATTGTGTGGTTAAGATTGTGTGGTTCAAAATTTACATGATGAAAAGACCTATACATAACATACTGTCTAAGATAATATTACTGTTGGTCTTTTAAAAAATTATTTTAAATATATTGGAAATTGAAATATAATGTTTTTCTTCTATTAAATGTGTATATTTTTATATTTTATCATTGTCCTTCACCTTATCTTAAGTCCTTTTTTAAAATATAATATAATATAAATATAATAATATATAAAAGTACATGAATTGCATGCACAATAATTATTCAATTTGACTGAGTCTTTAATTTGCTTTTGTAAATATTATTTAATATTTAAAATTAATAAGTATATTATTATTTCAGGATTCTGGAGCTCCTGTATTAACAGATGATGTTAGTTTACAAGTATTTATGGATCATTTGAAAAAATTGGCTGCATCTTCCTCATCTTGATTGTAATGTGGTGTTATAGACAGATATTTCTTTAAGAACTAGTCAGAATACAAATATTAATTTAATTCCTTTTCTATGTGCTAATTATCTGTTAACATTAGAATTATTTATGGACAATGTTGAAGTGGTTTACTGACACTATATTTCAAATATACGCACACATACTTTTCATACTTTGGCTATTGTCTTGAAGTACATTTTATTAAATTATAGATAAAAGCAAATATTATAAACCACAAAATGTTTGCAATGGTTGTTTTTGACAAGAATGACATTATCAGTGCACATTTTTTTCTTTTATTTTCCATGAGTTTGGGATATAGATATCTTATTGTTGTTAATGTAATTAAATGTCATATATTGTATAAACTTAATCTGATAAAATAATTTTATTTCTAAATAAATGCTTGTACTAAATTGTTTTGTTTAATATCTGTTAAAATTGTGTTCATTTTAAATTGACCACAGGTAGCTTCAACCTTAATACCAGTAGTGGATGTGTTAAAAGCCCAATATAAAACCCAATAGCAATTCCCAATTTAATCTTTAAAAGGATACGTTCACCATAAGATCACACACGTTAGTCTCAGAAATGGGAATTGTTAAGCTAAGTGTATCAGTAATAAGTGGTCACATATAACCCTCAAACTTAGAACTTTAAAGGTTAGATGTATATCACATAACATCGATTTAGTTTAAATTCAAGGTCTTCAGTTGAATTTGGAGTACCGGTAGGATGTAAGTAGCCTAACTATGGACCCTTGAAAATGGTCCAAATCACAGCCATCCTGTATACATATTGTAGTTATTATAATGGACATTTATTATCACAGCAACTCTTGGCAGGGTTTAAGACTACCATCTCCTTAATTTCTTAACGCCACGCTCATGACTAAGAAACCTATTTTGACAAATAGCGGTCGAAACCACCTTGACAATGACAGTTTGTTGTTTATTCGTAAAATATGGCAACATGCATAGAGACACAATACGAGGCTAGCTATTATTGAGGCATTGAGGGGTAAGTAATAAATTGCATCAACACAGGCGAGGCCTAGGTAATATTAATTAACCGTGAACTGGTAAATATGAAAAGTTATAGCAGACATTGATCTGTTTCTAATCCTTATTTTGTTTACTCTCTGACTACACTGAGCTCTGAATTGAATTTTTGCTCTCATTTCATGAATATTCAAAACAAATTTCTACTCTGTGATTGTACCATAGAATAACTCCATGGATTGTACTCGATTTACACGCAAAAGTATTTCAATACAATACCAAGAGACACAACAACAGAGACTACTTTCATTCCACTTCCGGTAATAACAAAAAGTAAAAGTAGTTCAGCAAAGACACTGACAGCAGTGGAAAAAGAAGGTACTTTTTGAAATTTAAACATATCTGATTAGTCCGTCCTTAATATTAATTAGCCATTTGAACTAAAGACTACCATCGATCTCTTTGATTTCATGACACCACGCTTCATGACTAAGAAACCTATTTTGCGATTTTGACAGACTGATGACGGTCGAGACCACCTTGACAATGACAGTTTGTTGTTTATGTGTAAGATGTGGCAACGTGCATAGAGACACAATACGAGGCTAGCTATTGAGAGGTAAGTAATAAACTCCATCAATACAGGCTAGGCCTAGGTAATATTAAACATGAATTGGTAAAAGTTATTCTAATCCTAATTTTGTCTACTCTCTAGTTCTCTCATTTCATAAATATTCAAATTAAATTTTCTACTTTATGCCATTTGTCTTAGAATGTTTTCAGATCAATAGAAATATTAGGTTCAGTGATTTTACATTTTAAATAGATACTCTATCCTTCCAGAAAATTCATGTGAAAATGACCCACTTTTCAGACAGAATTCCCCTCTGTAAAATCATGTTAACAAATAACAACTTTTCCAGTAGTAAACATTTTCATCATTGATTGTCAAAATTCAATTCAGAAAACAGTGCAGTCAGACAGAAGCTTACTCTCTTCTCTGTAGGCTTCATATTTTCCTGGAGATAATAAATTCTATGATAGGCTGTATCAGAATTAAATATTCTCTTACAGGAATCAATTATAAAACCAATCATGGCTGAATCTAAAGAAAATAAGGTAAGCGGAAACGAAAAGCTCTTTTAGTTTACATAAAGGTACTTTAAATGTACAGCATGTATAGGCCTTGTTCAAACTGAATTTTGTGTAGTTAGTTATGCTTTATAAACCTATATCCTACTACATGATAGACACTACTCTGTAGCAAGCAATAATAATAATGAATAAAACTGATATGACTGGACACTTCAGACAATTGCTATTCCTTACATTAAAATACTTAAATTAAAACACCTACATTAAATCATGAGAAGAATATTAATTGTTTTCTCCAATAGGATAATAACCAGACATCAGAAACTGAAAAAGATGAAACAGAAAGTTCTGGTAGATACAATGTTTATTTTTTCTTTACTTTTATACACCCACATTATACAGTGCTCTTATGTTGTTCTCACCCCTCTCCATCCGTCCACAATTGGATTGTGAACACAACAGAGGCTACAGTTTCTATCTGATTATAACGAAATTTAGAATGATCATTCGCATGTTGAAGTTCGAATTTGACGATCTCTACATGAACGGTTATTCAGTTATTGCCCTTAACTTTGGAAAATATTTTGTGCAAATTAGAATTTTGTTACGATTTGACAAAGATTGTCGACTGCCTTTAATATATACTGAAAAATTATCAGGGAAGTGGGCGTATCTTGCTAGGCAACCACTAGTTCCATTATTCAGTTATTGCTTAAACCACAAATTCTGAAAACTGTGCAGCCCAGCTTTCAACTGGTCTGGTTCAAAAAGATGATATTTGCGAAATTGACATGTCCACACACTTAATGTTCCTTGCCAAGAGAAATTTATTGTATGGTTTGGGGATATTATATCAGTTCAGGTACATCCATGCAAAACCACCTAATGTTGATCTGAAAAAGCTGGTTTTGTCACCTTGTTATTTCACAATGTGATTTTGGTATGTTCATTACATACGATTACTGTAGCCTACACAATTTTTTAGGTGGTTGGGGTTAATAAGGCTAGAATCTCTCAACTATCAGGTGGAATGCAAGGAAAACTGAAAAAAATATATACTGTGTAAAAATATTTTGATGATAGGTTTAGACTGGTTAGCTGGTTATATGAAACAATCATTGGGTTTGACTGAGAATAAAGCTGTTAAAGTACTAGATGAAGTTAGTTTTGAAGGAATAGCTAAATATATTAAAGAAAAAAAATGCAAAAATATCATAACAATGGCAGGGGCTGGTATTTCTACTTGTAAGTATTATATTATGGCATTTAGTAATTGATTATAATAAACACAGAACAATTAGCTTTATAAAAACAGGAGGATCAATCAAAGTCAGAACGTTGCATTGTTATTGTGTATGTTGTGTTTATAGTATAATTACTAGTAGTTTTTAAATACTTTTTTTTTTCTGAAAACTATTTAAATTAGGTTTGGAAAGGTAATAAAAGACATGAATATATCTTCAAGACAATATAATAATTGTGAAATATATATTTTAGCTGCAGGTATACCAGATTTCCGTAGCAAAGGAACTGGTTTGTATGACAATTTAGAGAAATATAATTTACCATGTCCAGAAGCTATTTTTACCATTGATTATTTTAAGGTATTTATGAAAACATTTTTTGTACAATAATTTTGTAAGAAATTGTCTGCAATAATTTGCCAAATTTGTTATATTAAGTTGCCATGGCAACAAGATAATGAACAATATAATCTGCACAATTTTGTCTATGTGTAGAGTCTCAATGTATCCTTTTCACAAAAAATTTCTTCAAACATTTTTTTACCATTAAAATGTCTTCATTTCATACTTTCTTTTCCAATATTGCATTCATTACAAAATACAATGTATTGACCACTTTGTTTATTCTTAGACTACTAATGTCCTTTAACAGTATAAATATGCTGAAATAAATACTTTTTAAATGACAGTCATTAATATCATCTATTTTCAGGAAAATCCAGAGCCATTCTTTGTTTTGGCTAAAGAACTTTTTCCAGGAAAATTTAAGGTATATTTTAACTCCAATATTATTTTTGTTCATTTCATTTTCATTTTTGATAAAATTCTGATCATTTTTTTTTAAATAAAATTTTTCTGAAACTTCTTAGTCAGGAACACACTTCAAATAGTTCCAAAGATGAGGGTCTTTACTAGTTGATTCTTATTGACTGTGAGGCTCATATACAAGTACTTTTATTGTGAATGACATTTGTCACTTCATGTTAGTTTTAATGATGTATTTAATTTTTCAGCCAACACCTTGTCATTATTTTATAAGATTATTACATGATAAAGGTCTGTTATTACGTCACTATTCACAGGTAAGACATTATATATACATGTACATATTAAATATATTTAAAATAAATGATTATTATCATATTGGCCTATTTTATATATGATTTTAGTGTATGAATATTTCATCACTGTTTGAACCTGGAATTTTGGAAGTCATCAAATTAAAAAAAAGATTCCATGAAGGGGAAAGTAATCAATAATTGAATAATTGAATATTTAATGATTATAGAATATTGATACATTAGAAAGGGTAGCTGGTCTACCAGGAGAGAAACTAGTTGAAGCTCATGGTACCTTTCATTCCTCTCATTGTTTAATATGTGATAAACAATATACATTGGAATGGATAAAAGGTAGGTGATGTATCATTAAAATATCTATTAAAAAAATGGGCAAACCAAAGCATAGTTTTAATTAAACAAAATAAGAGTTTGATGAATCTGGCTGTAGACACTACGATTTAGTTTAGTGTGTAAGTAGCAGTACTATATCAAATATTTAACTTATCTATTTGTTACTTGTAGAGAAGATATTTAAAGATACAATACCAAAATGTGATGAAACTGAATGTGATGGTGTAGTTAAACCAGGTACAAAATATATTCATACCAAATTCTATAGACATTAGTAGGTGTCCATGTAGGGGGATGGAGGAGTTCCCAGTAAATAGTTTTTGAAAAGTGATTATTTTTCATTTTGAATAATACTATTGAAAGCTTTCCGAGAGGTAGAAATAAGGGTTAAAGGACTAAATTAATCCTCAGTTATTTTTCTCTGCAGATATAGTGTTCTTTGGTGAAGCTCTACCAAAAAGATTTGCTGAATGTTATGCAGAGGTATGTAAACTGTATAAAACTTGTTTTAATCTATCAAACCAAACTTTATATCATTAGAATTATTCATACTCTAATTATATTGTAGGATTTTGGTAAATGTGATATGTTAATAGTAATGGGAACATCATTAAAAGTTCAACCCTTTGCATCATTGACCAGCAGGTAATATTTTGATATCAATAATTTTATATTAAGATTCAACTGCTAATATCTATTCAATATTGTATATTGGATGGCTGACATGTTCATATTTCTGATTCCCGCAACAGTTATTTCCAAAATTTGTCCATTTTCTCTCTGTTCTTAGTTTATATCTTTGATAACCATTGCTTTGATATTCCAATTGGCCTGTGATATCTGGATATTTTATCCTTTCAAGGCTACCATTGTTTATACTGTATATCTTACTCCAATATTTTACATGTTTTATCACTTAGAGTTCCTGTAGAATGTCCTAGATTATATATTAATTTAGAGAAAACAGATGATTCTTCAGTAAGTTATTTACTAAATCTCAAGTAAATATGTAAGGTCTGCAGATACTTGATATAAGGTTTCCTGAGTAAACCCAGTGATGTTACTTAGGTTATAATTTAGTTGTTTTCAATTTATAACAAACCCAAGGATAACTTGTCAGTCTTAAGTAAAAAAAGACATGGAATATAATACTAAGATATATTTCTCTTTCAGGGTAATTTTCTAGCAGCTTTAATGTTTGGTCATAACTTTGATTTTGATTCCGAGGATTGTTACAGGTAAAAACAATTCACAAACATCAATTATAAACAATACATTGTCGTTACCATACAGAATACCAATATAGTAAACTACCATTTTATTAAAGGAATATTTTTAAACCAATACATTGATTAATAAATCAAGTTAATTATTGACATTCTCTACAGCTGGTTATCTTTTCATCTATTTTAATAATAATAGTTATTATTTTCACACTAATTAAAGGATGTGTAGGGATACAGTCAAGGAATTTTCATTCAATAAACTATTTGATATTATGATTTTAGAGATGTGTTTAAACAGTCAACATGTGATGATGGTTGTCTAGAATTAGCTGATAAAATAGGTTGGAAGGTAGGTCTACATTATATTTTACAACAAAAGATTCCTTTATTCCATTCATTTATCTGTATTTGCCAGTCATGTGTAATTGGAACTCTAATATAAATTTGCTACAATTTCTTTACATGTTAAAATTTCGTGACTTGAATTTCTAAAATTCACACTGGTCGACAGAATTGCCAATGATATTTTCTGGATTACCAATGATAACCAGATCATTTCTCAATAATATCAATACCAAATATTTAAATATTGTTATTATTGTTCTAGATTGGATATACAGTTGACAAACTGGAAAGAATCTTCAGCTTTGCTAGAAAAACTTACTACATTACAGAGCTTAAACAAATTATTTTGTACATACTCTTATGAACTAATGACTTATAATTTGCATGAGCAAGATGTATTTGCTTTTGATGTATTAAAAATATCCCAAAGATTATTAGCATTGAAAACATTAACATGAAATGAATGCTGAAATAAGGTGATTCAGCCATTGTTTTAAACTTACCTTTTCAGAAAGAATTGGATAAATTAATAAAAGAAGAATATAGTAAAATTGATAAAGAAAATAAAACAGCAGATAAATCTCCAGCCAAGTCACCATCTACTGCCTCTGGCTCTAAGACAAAAAGTAAACAAAGTTAAGGACTGCCATAAATAGACAATAGTTTAGCATGGGTTTGACAGAGTAGGGAAGTGTGTCAACATGTTTTCTTATTGGTGTAATCTTTTAATTCTCTTTATTTAGACATCTTTTACAAATATAGTCATTGGTTTTCAGCGTCTGATCATTTTAATTTACAAATATTTGTTCTTGTTTATTTTATGATCATTATTAATGATATATCTGAACCACAGAATAGACCTGATAAGGAATTAGCCTCTCCTCATACCAAATTATGATGTATTATAATTGTTTGTTGTATATAATTTTAATATTTATTATTGGTTGTTATGTTTGTATGATATTGAAGTAATATATCAGGTGTTCCAAAAAAAAAAACGTCCCACAGTCTGTTCGACAGGTAGTATCTCAGTTGTTGGTAAACTTATCTCTTTCAAAATTCTCACAAGTATACTTCAAGATGTCATCCAATGAAAAACGTACTGGCCCGAAAAAAAAATAGCATGTCGAACACCCAATATATAAGAATAATATTATACATGTTAGTACATACTATTTATATTTACATATTTCAAATTCGAAAAACTCATTAAACTGACCCTGGTTCATTCCTAGATTTCCTAAAATTATGAAAAAAAATTAAGATCAAGCTCTAGTTTGGTAGTTTATTAATGAACAGGATACAATCATCTCCATATTTGATTAACAGACGGTAAGAGCTCATTTTTAGTTATCCATATCACTTTTAATAATATCATACCACACCAAGTTAGATTGTGTCTCTTCCAGTTTTATTGATATTGTTACATGCAGTTATAACCAATGATATCATAATACCTGTAACAACTACTCTTGAAAGGAAAGGAATAATGTTATTGCATTGATGGCAGTCTTATATGGTATGGTATTTATTATTGAATTGAATATATCCCTTTGAATCTTGGAAATTATCAGCGACTTTTACCATCAGACAAGAAAATACTTGTGCCTTGGACTCTTATAATGATAAATAAATTCATTTTCAAACGATTAATCAAATGATGTATAAAACACAAACCTGTTTATCATACATTTTAATTGAATTATTTACACATATCAAGACACTTTCTTTCTTTTAGCTTGAAACTTTTGAGTTTTAGTTTTCACTGATTTGACTAAATGTGATATTGATTCTTTAGTTGGAGGTTGCAACTCATCAGTAACAGTCTCTAATTGTTTATCTAAATTTATTTTACGTTTTAAAGGTTTAGAATATCCTTCTTTTTGTCGTCTTTTCTGTTTTTCATTCACAAATGCTTCTGATCCTTTGGTTTTCTTAAATTCTGGAGCTGACGGGTCCACGTTAAACAGATGAGAATCAAACAAAGCTGAAAATCTGGGATCTTCAACATCAACCTATTAAAAAAAGATTATAGATTATAAGCATTTTATTATTGCTATCTATCGGAATAACATGCTATGAATTGGTATAACTGTATAACATGCATTATCAACACATGTATTCCATTTCAATACTTAAGAGATTAGAATAAGGTATAGCAAGTCATGGTGCCATATGATATTTTGATTGGTATAGCAGTAACAATTATCTTCTTTTCATCAATTCAACTCCTCTATCAGTTTGTATTGAAATATTTGATTATTAATGTCATGGCTGTAAAATCCACAGTGCCCTTGTTCATACTATTTCCGAAGATAAAATAAAATATTACTTGAAAATCATCTTCTTTATCATTATCATCATCTTCTTCTAACTTCTTTTTCTTCTTCTTTTTCTTTTTCTTTTGAGCATCTTTAACTAGTTTCTCAAGATTAAAATGTTTACTATCATCTTCATCATCCATCATTAGTAAAGCTAATTTAGCCTGTAATATATCATCAGTGAAGTTAAATGGCAATGCTCATTTAGCTTGTTATATATCATCAGTAATATAATATAGCCAATATTAAAGTCAAAGGAGTCTTTTAATAGATTAAAGTTTTTAAAAAAAAAAAAAAAAAACATCTTATGAATAAATAAATAATGTTATTAATTATACTTCTTGCTCCTGGCTAATGAATGAAACGTAGTATTCAATAAGGAGAGTTTTTTCTCTATAACAATTTTAACCAAGTTTGTACAATTTTTTTCATTCTTATTTGTAAAATAAAGCTAAGCTAAAATGATACAAACTCAATTAACCGTCCCAGCACATTTGTCATAGCACAAGTCTATTTTCCACAAAGCTCATTAACAGGAACTTGATATCTCTTCATAAATATTTTTTACCAAAGATCATTAAAAAGTAAGTCTTCTTAAGAAATATACAAATATCATCATATTACCTCTTCTTGCTTTCTCTTTGCTAATTCTTCTTCAGTTACTTCTTCTTTCTTCCATTTCTTCTTCTTTACTTTCTTCACATCTAATAGAAAATGTTAATAAATTAATTTAGAAGAGGCTAAAAGGAGACTACTATCAGACAGACGTTTATCCTTCAAACCATCAACTTACATTAAATACCTATACATGAAAGGTTGTTTTTTTCTGACTTTTCAAGAAATCTATTTTCAGAATCCTTACCTTTTAATTCTGATTTAAAGTAAGGATCAGTCATATCAACTCCTTCAGGTACTTCATCATCACTAAAAGCATCCTTTTCTTGTGGTATAACACCAGATTCCTGAAATATTCCAATTCATCAGCACTTACAGGGTCATGTTTTACAAAAAACTTCACAAAAAGTCTCAAGAAGATCTGAAGATCACACAGCATGAAACTCTTGAAATACCACAATCAAGTTTTGTTTTATTATTTCTATATACTTTCTATATAAGTTTTAAGAAAATTAATTGAGTTTCATTATGCATGTATATAATACCAATGTAGTGTTTTTGAAGGCAGATTATCACTTCTTTAATTATATTGAGAGAAAATTCCTACCATCAAGGCTTTTTCTTTCAGTTGTTTTCTTTCTTTTTTTCTCTCTTTCTTCTTTTCTTTTTTCTTGTCTAGAAATTTCTGCCATGGTGTTACTTTAATATCACTTTCTAAACTTTGATTGACTAGACTTTGAGTTGTTTCTTTCAACCCTTCAAAATATAATTCAACATGATTTGATTAACAATGAAAATTACTTAAGCTACATTCTGTGAAATGTTGCACTTTTAGACTGAACTTGATCACATCAGAGGCTACAAATGATGTCATGTAAATAACCAACATCAACAACACTGAAATTTACCTGGTTCCCATGTTATCTCCATCTCAACATCTTCTTCTTGTTTTTTATTCTTTTTCTCATCAATATCTTGTATTAGCTGTCTGTATTTCTCTAATCTATTCTCTTCTGTATCACTGTTATCACTATCAGAATTACTAGATCCTGCTTCACCAGCTTCTATAATATATAGATAACAAAATAAAAACAGGACTATCTTTGATAACAGATTCTAAGATTTGAATTATCACAGTACTACATCATTTTGTATTATAATTGCACTAACAAGTTAACCATCAAGCTTGTGACACTCTTCCTCTTAGAATAAACATAAATTTAAATTCTCAAACTTGGCGAATAGGACTATATATTCATCATTGAACTTAACTGGTGTTAACTATACAACACAATACCTGTGTGAATATACTCTTATCGGCCACATTTGAGATTTTGAATTTTATGTTTCTTTTAAGATATAATGCATGGAGTACCTCGTTAAATATCAACAAATTTTTGTCAGCTTAACATGGAGTTTTAAAACTTGATATAATTTCAAGCCTTACCTTCCTCATCAGAACTAGATGCTATGTAATTTTCATAATCTTTTTCTAAATCATCTATTTTTTTAGGATCTATTTTAGTCATGGTAACCTTTAATCTGTCTTGATCTGTATCATCCCACGTCAGTTTCACCTATTTTAATACAGAATAAAGAATAAAATGACTAGATTTGGAATCTAAGCTGCCTGTTACAAATTGCTATAACAATCATATGTACTTAAGCATACTCAATTCTAAGCCTAAACATCTATGTCGAAAGGGAGAGGTCCCTCATCTAGATTTTTGAAGAATGAAAGTTATTTCAGAACCAGATCATACCTGACTTCTACCCAGAGCTGAATTAGAAAAGTAATTAGGTTTATACTCCGATACTCCTTTGCAGGTACTCTTAGGGTCATCATCAAATACCATATCATCTGGTATAAACCTACAAAATATACAAACATTATAAATCAATGCACAAAAAGTCAAACACCTGTCATCACAATGTGTTTTTGGATGAATTGTTTTTCTGTAGATTAAGTATTGATTTTCTACTCAATAACGATATATATGACATAATAATTTCTGAACAGACATAGTTTTATAACTTTTAATATCTTGAGTATCTGTTTGATAAGCAAAATATATAAATGCAGTCCTCAAATACTAAATAATGACTGACCTTAAATCTATTTTAGTACAACTAGTTTCAAATTCCTTGCCATCACATTCATCATATATCTTAATAGCTGTATCTATACTATCACACACAATAACAGCATAATAATACCGTAATCTATTGATTTGATATTGACGTAACTTTTCTCTGTGAAACTGTTCTCCTACAATGAAAAACCAAAAGAATTTTATAGAAGCATAAAGTATTTTTCTATCAATGGGAAGTCGGTAATTATAAATATTTTGAAACCTAAATCAAGGAAATATTTGAGTTTTTCGAAACAACATTCTAATTTCATTTCATGTGGCATATAAGATCAATTGTCAATTGTTATGAGGCAAGCTTCTTTCACAATACAAATGGCATATTTAGTATAAAGTTTTTATATCTTATTTCGACATGCCTGTACTTAATCTTAATTCAAATTCATTCCTTAAAACGGAAATAATCTTTTTAAATAATGCATCGTTTTGAAAGAAATTACTTTGAAAATCACAAGGAAGGTGTAAGACTGACATTATGATAAGAATGATATTGATGAAACAAAAACCTCTGAGTGTAAATTATCAGTATACTGCAAAAATCTATGTGTAGTTATCCTAATGACAATAAATATTACCTTCTAATATTTCTTCTGATGTTTGTGGTACATCATTATCATTTCTCTCTACTAATTCTTTAGGTCCTTCAAACTCTTCTTCTCTCATTCTTTCTTTTCCAAACTCTGATGGGTATATCTGAATTATAAGGTGCATCACAAATAAACATCCCTGAACATGTTTAAAAGATCAAGAAGCAATGTCAAAATCAGTAAGGTCCATGAAAAAAAGTATGAATGAATGCCAAATTGTATTGTAGTAGATATCTACAGAAAAGGAAAGTTTTCCTCATTACCTTCATCAAACTAACACAACATAAATATCATAAATTATCAGAACTTACTGAAACAGATTGTATATATCCATTAGCTGGTTTAAAAGAATTAAATAACATAAAAATATCAGCAGCTTTAATTCTATCCCAATCTAAATTACAAACAGCTAATCTATTACTACAATCTTTAACTTCTGGTATATCTTTCTCTAATTCCATCCAATTATGATCAAAATTATCATCTGAATAAACAAAATAATAATTTAGAAGAACCATTTAGTTATAATCATATTAAACTTAAGATGTTTCAAGATTTCTCCATTGTCAAACCCTTAAATTTAATATTACATATTATATAAGCAGTCTTTACCTGCATCAAATTCAAATTCCTCTTCAGAGGAACTTTCTTCTTCTTGACCTACACCTCTTGATGGATCTAGCTCATCATCGGAATCTACAAAATATCATTTATAAATGGCATAGCATAGCAATTTGTTTATTCACTAATAAGAATCACCAGGTGAATTCAAAAGTCCACAAACTTGGACCAAATTCCAGTAGGTGTCAAATTATCTCAGTTGAACTGAAGAAGTTTTGCAGGGGCTTAATATTCACTTGCTTGGCTCTACCCTAAAAATAGGGCTGGGTGGTGTTACAAATGTAACCATTTTGAGTTAATTTCTTGAATGCAACAAAGGACCATGTTCCACACTTTGGAATTTGTCTAAAAAAAGTTGTTTTAGTGACTTTGAATTACCAAGTTAAGTGTCTTAATTGAAATAGTACTTTTCTTGTTTTTTGTTTACAGTAGTGAGTGGTGAACATTTTCAGCAATTCTAAATGAATATAAAAATACATACCACCATAGTCACTGTCACTTTCTTCATCACTATCACTTTCATTGTCACTGCCATTAGAATTAACATTATCACTGTCATTGTCATTACAATTATCATTGTCACTCTCACTATTTTTGCTCATGTTTTCTTCTAAATCAACTTCAAGATTATCAATTTGCTCACTTTCATTTATATTGATTTCAATATCTTGCTTTTTTGCTTTCTTTTTGCTTTTGGAAAAAACATCATGATTATCAGTCTGCTTTTCTTTCTTTTTGTCTTGTTTGTTGTCAATTTCGAATGCATTTTTTGTTTTATTCAGCTGTTTGTTTGTTTCCAAGCTGTCAACAGAAACTTTACTGGACTTTGCCAATCTATTCTGCTTATCTTTCTTCTTCTTAGATTTTTTCTCTGACTTCGATTTCTTTTCAGACTCATCTTCATCAGTGCAATCAGATAAATCATAGAAACGTTTTAGATTATCTTTACTACTAATATCTATTGGTCGACCTCTTTTATCAACACTGTATTTCACCTACATGTATATGAAAAATAATAATTAACTTAAATAACTAAGATAAAGAAGTAATCATGAGTTTTTCACCTTGTTATTGTTGATCAGCTTAATCTTTTACGAGGTAAGGCACTCAATTTGTTCAACTTGAGACATGAAGGAAATATTTTAATAAATGTGTTGCCAATAAAAGCAAACATCTCCTACCTGAAATTTCTTATCATTAAACATTGCTTGAAATCTTTTATCAATCTTAACTTTCTTTTCTTTCTTTGGCATTTGCCAAAATCTTGGATCCTTGGCAATGTGTGAAAAACGTTCATCTTTAAGAACTTCATCCATTCTGCAAAAAGAAATTGAAGCATCAATACTAAAGAAAATCATGTAAACTTTATACTTTTTGTAAACCAGGTCAATCATGTGATGACTTGAACTACGGTAAAGATGTGCTCACTTAAAAAATGATTGAAAGAGTAAAAGCTGTAATGCAACCAAAAGAAGAGCTTTGATTCTTATATTTTCAGCTATTTCAGAAAGAAATGATACTACCACAGATAGTATTACAGAGATATCTATGGTAGCCCATGAGCGCCATAGCTGTTTTATTATTTTATTTATGAAAATACCTTTCTTTTGAATTTGAATTCATTTTTATTTCACTTTCATTTTGTTTTTAAATTCATTTCGTTTTTTATTTTACTTTCATTTTGTTTTTAAATTCGTTTTACTTTCATTTTGTTTTTAAATTCGTTTTATTTTCATTTCGTTTTTTATTTTACTTTCATTTCGTTTTTACTTTTTATTTCACTTTCGTTTTGTTTTTAAAATCATTTTACTTTTTATTTCACTTTCGTTTTGTTTTTAAAATAATTTTACTTTTACTTTCATTTCACTTTACTTTCACTTTCGTTTTGTTTTTAAAATCATTTTACTTTTACTTTCATTTTCGTTTTTTAAAAAAAAATTCTTCTTCATTTACTGCGCCATAGTGTCCAGATTATCCAGTCACACTTTTGTCTATCATCCAAGTGTTAGAGTAATTCCCCTTGAATGTGGTCGTGCGAGAATTAAACTCCTTTTTATACGCCCACATGAAAAAGACTGTTTTATTTTTTCTGACAGCTGCCAGTGGGCGTATGTTACCTTGTAACGCAAGCTATCTTTAATCTATGGGTGCTGGGGGTATTAATTTCCCAATATTCAGCATGCTTGCAAGGGAAATGGAGGCAGGGAAAGCTTGAGGTCGTGCAACAGATGCTGATGGTGTAACTGACAAAATATTTGTGCCGACAGGTTTTTTAGTAGAAATACCACTACAAGAAGGCATATTCCTATTATATTCATTTGTTGTGTTCATGTCTGAGAAGATTCAACGAATCTGATGTGAAGTAATTTAAATGATTTGATCTGATCTGATCAATATTTGAGAAAGATGGCCCTCGATCTCCTGCCATGATATCACATTTGTAAGAAGATGGAATATCAAAATGTTTTTGACAAGCAGCCTAGTTTAATACTATCTAATGACATCTCCCCGTTAAATTCCACCATTGTGAGGGGACCAAGACGGCGATATTTTTGACATTTACCCTCAACATGTTCTGAGAGTCTTTGAACAGTTAAATATTCCAAGGTTTCGCCATCACTAGTACCCTTGCCCTTTGGTTTCTACGTTTGGCAATTTGGGCCTTAAAATCTGTCCATTTTCGTTTAGACAAAATTATTTGCTCCGTTAAGGGGGAGGTTACTCGCCAGAGCACATTCAAGGGAAATAACTCCTGCTCACACTAGTCATTGCTTGGATGATAGAAAGTGTGACTGGATAATCTGGACACTATGGCGCAGTAAATGAAGAAGAATTTTTTTTTTAAAACGAAAATGAAAGTAAAAGTAAAATGATTTTAAAAACAAAACGAAAATGAAAGTAAAATAAAAAGTGAAATGAAAGTAAAAGTAAAATTATTTTAAAAACAAAACGAAAGTGAAATAAAAAGTAAAATGATTTTAAAATCAAAACGAAAGTGAAATAAAAAGTAAAAATGAAATGAAAGTAAAATGAATTTAAAAACAAAATGAAAATAAAATAAAAAACGAAATGAAAGTAAAATAAAAAACGAAATGAAAGTAAAATAAAAATGAAAGTAAAATAAAAAACGAAATGAAAGTAAAACGAATTTAAAAACAAAATGAAAGTAAAATGAAAAAACGAAATGAAGGTAAAATAAAGATAAAAGTAAAATAAAAAACGAAATGAAAGTAAAATGAATTCAAAATCAAAATGAAAGTGAAATAAAAATGAATTCAAATTAAAAAGAATATTTTTTTCATAAATGAAATAATAAAACAGCTATGGCGCTCATGGGCCACCACAGATATCCTTAGTTAACATATCTAATTATCTTAACCTTTAACTTGCACCTTGTTTTATCATAAAATGAAATGAATGGAAGTTTTATGTTTTACTTTTCTTGTTTTAACAAAGATCTTTACTTGCTTTTATGAGAGTATGTTCTCATCACTATTAAACATCAAAAATGTGATATGGGGTGATAGTGGAATATTTTTAGTTAGAGTGGATATGATTAGTAATGCTATGATAATCTATATCAGGATATTACAAATATACAGAACTAGTCTTTTTGACTTTGTCAGGACCTGGACACTGATGTAATACCTGAAACTTTTTTTTCAAAGAATAAAAATAAGCAGTATCAATCAAAACATAAACACCACACACATGTATTCGACTTCCGGTTGTCCAGATTATGATGAAAGGCTACTATGGGATTTGTCAAATATGAAAGAATGTCTGCGATATGAAAAATAATTTTGGATAGACGCCGAGACGTTAGATATCTATGACATTTCACTTTATCTTTTTATTTCAATCTCTTTTTTTTATTTTTTTGTTCTTGATATTATTGCCGCGGTTCTTTTTTTTCTCACTTCCGGGTTGACGAATATTCTTCTTCCGGTGCATTTTGTCAATATTTATATTTTGATTTTGAGTAAGCTGTACATTTTCTGAGTTAATATCACATTCTATGATTTCCAATCAGTTTGACATCTGAGATTATCTTAGCAACTGTTGTTCTAGTTTAAAACAAATCATCTCGAACAAAGCAAAAGACAACTCGGACCACTTTAAAAAATAATAATAAGAATCAGAGTAGGCCTTGTCGTCTGTAGTGTCGACTCGGCGACATCTGTCATCTCTGTCAACTCGGCGACAGACAAGGTCTCCGAGTTGACTCTGCACATATTGTTGCCGAGTTCAACAACAAAAAAGTGTCTCAGAGTTAAGCCAGTACGTATTGTCCCGAAATGCATGACTGGTAATCCTAAGAGTAAGAATCACCATCATAATCATACCATTTTTTTTAGATAGAAGTAGTAAGTCCTAAACCAGTCTCTGATGGATATTTGACAGTTTTCAGCTTGAGAAGAATCAGTAAAATCTCTAAAAGCTGTGTTTTTTCTAACATAATAATAAATAAATTACGATTTACTTTTGTTTTGTTACAGTATCACATGATGCTATGAAGTTTTGAATGCATGCGCAGATTTAAGTGGCATCAGTTGAATGTTCAGTAGGAATTTTCAATTTTATAATATTACAGAGCTCAAATATGCTACATAAAATATGGATCGAAGCAGCAAAAATGAGTTGTTGAAAACGATTGAAAGTCAGAAAGAACAGTTGACACGATATGAAACTAGGTTGAGAGGTAATTTACTAATTCGTAAAAAGTTTTCTTTGTATTGTAATCTCTAATGTTAAATGTTTACATTTTCACATGTTGCATTGCTTGTATGATTACATGTCAACTCGAGTAGTGAACTAGCAATATCATTACATCAAGTTAAATTTCCTTACTTTCTGAGTGATAATTTAATTTTCTCTATCTATTTTAATGCTATGTTAGAAATTGTTGTAATGAGTAGTTTGTTGTATTACAGATTCCATGAATGTTTGATAAAATTTTTCTATTTAGATGTGATAAGAGCATATAAAGGTTCTGTTAAAGAAAAGGAAGCATTAGAAGCCAGTGTTAAAGTCCTATCGGAGCAGAGTAATAGACCAGACAAAAAGGAGACAAAGCAACAAGATGGTTCTTCCATACAAGATCCTTTAAATACCAATGTAAGATTACCTTGAACTTTACCTCTCCTACTTTCAGTTGCTACAAAAACAATAGCACCTTGTAGACCACCTTTACAATATCAAGGTATTACGAACTGCATCTAATACCTTGATGTCAACAATAAGATTGTAAACAATATGAGTGTCGAGGGCTATGACTGTTTGTGTGAGTACTCTAGTTGGCTGTATTCTACTGTATTATTCAATAAAATCGCTGCATTTAAAAACTTCCAAGCTTATAGACTTTCTGTTGTTAATATATCCTGTTTCTTTCTTCAACTTATCCCATTCCTACTTGCACAGTAAATAGTCTTCTGATCTAGTATCATGTTTGTCATGTTATTTTCAGTCTGAAGATGCTAGCCAAGATGATGAGGTGCGTGTTCTTAAAGATCAGTTGAAAACATTGACCAACACAATATCTACAGTAACAGCTCAGAAATCTCGTCTTGAGGCTGATTTTGTTGCTGATAAAAAGAAACTAAGGGTAATTTTCTTTCTTATAGAATATTTATCCATATGAATTTCTTCATGGATTTTCTTTAACAGAATGATAGTTTGATAATCTGGTTCGTTTATATGGTTAAAAGGTTGGGGTTCATGATTGTGGGAAACTTGGGCAAAATAGACATTCCAAAGTTCAATTTGAATTAAAGGAGGAAAATTACTATTTCTAGTTAAGTGTTGTTGAAATTTGACTTTCAATCAGTTATTTTGTTTCTAGGGAGAATATGAAGAATTACAAAGTAAATTCTCCTCAACTTTACAGCAACATGAAAAAACAGTTCAAGAATGGAATGATAAATATACAGAGGTAGATTATTGAAAGATTTATTAAAAATCTGATATTTTTTTTATATCTAACTTATGAATTATTCTTGAATCAGGATTAAATTTCTAAAGAAACAATTGTTATAATTATTCTTAATTAAAAAAAAATATATATTTATTTTATTCATTTGATATTTAATACCAGTAACAGTTTAATTGTGAATTGCTCTGAAAGATAGATTCTTGAGAGCTGCAACGAATGAACTTGTTTATTTGTAGATAAAAAATCGTCTGCGTACCCAACAATTAGAACGAGAAAAAGAACAGACTGATCATGCTATGATGATAAGAGAATTACAAAAACTACTGTCAGTTGAGAGAATGGCTAAAGAGCATTTCGAACAGCAGGTTAGTATTTACTGACATGAGTTATTGCTGTTTTCAACATTTATATTTTTTTTCATAAAGTTCAGAGTTTAGTGCATCAGAATTATTTAATTATAGTTTTTCCCATCTCTGTTGCAATGATTCTACAATATTTCCATTTGGAAAAAGTTTTCAATGAACTGTTTCAAAATATTTGTAGTTAGATGAAGTAGAAACATCAATGAAACAACAAGTAGCTAGTGTACCATCGGTTAAAGAGCAGTATGAAAAACAGATAGATAATTTATCATCTCAGTTAAAATCAGTCCGAGATAGATTAAAAGCTGCTGAAGAGAAAGCAAATCAACCATCACCTATGTTATTAGATTTACAGAAAGAAATGACTACTATGAAAGTAAGGCTTTTGCTTTGTTGATATATGGACTGTTCTTGAAGACATGACCTTCTTTGGTGCTTACAATTATTGGGTTTTAATTCTATTCCTTTAATTCTGATTAAAATGTGTTCAGTTAAAGCCAAAAAGTTCATAGTTTGGAAGGTTTATGGCAGTTTTTCATATTTTAGAAAACTAGAACTAACTTTAGTATTATGTACGTCCATAGTTGAGTGTTTCCAATAGAAATATGCCAAAACAGTGATCTTTTTCCCTTGTTTGCGATATGAAATTTAGATGTTTCTCTTCTACCAGATAGGACAGATAACTATTCCTAACAGTCTGTATCCAATAGTCCATGGAGGTTTTGAACAAAAAACCATGATCAGAGTTTTTCTCTTGTTGAATTTATGTTATGAAAACTCATTTTGATCTTCACAGAATGAAGCTCAAAGACAAGTAGAGAAAGAGATTCTAAGAGCATCAGAAGCTGAGACAAGAGTTGTTCAAGTTTCTGTACAGAGTGAAGAAAGAGTAACATCTCTAGAAACTAAATTGGCTGAACTATCAGAAGTAGTTGGTAATTATGAGAGATTGAGATATCAAGATCAACAAGCTATTCATAGATTAAAAGAGAGAGTTAGTCAGTTAGACATTGAAAATTCAGCTTTAGCTCGTGCTGCTCACTCTATTCCTGATACAAACACTACCACAGATGATAGTAATTTAGATTCACAATCTATAGCTGAACAAATTAAAAAACTACAGAAGTTATTGAAGGATGCTAATTTACGTTCAGAAAAACCTGTGGATATTAATGGTAAGTTTATCACATAAAACTCTTCATTGGACTTGCTGTGACTCTACCTTAAGGGTTCTTTCGCACTAACAAAATCTTAAAATTCGTTAAAAGTTGCATTTGCAATATGTTGTCATTGTACACAACATGCAAAGATTCAGTAGCAGTTTTTATTGGTATGAAACAGATGATCAATATGAAACAGCTGTTCACAACTCTATGATATTCAAAATCCATGTCAAAAATCAATAGCAAATAGCCATACATTGTACAATTCCTTACCTAATTATACAGTGTCAGTCACATAATCTATGACACTTAAATCTATATACTATGTTATATTCTAGAATTAATGGAATCAGAAGAAGAAAGAACCATGTGTCAGAAATATAAAGAGGAACTAGAACATGTTAAAGAAGAATTTGAGAGATATAAACTAAGAGCACAATCAGTTCTTAAAAATAAAACAAAGGTTAGGTTTTTTAACAATCAAACAAATAGTATAATGAGATTTCAGTTTGAGCTTTTACCAAATTTAAGGAGATCAGCTCCATAGAAAAAAACAATTCAGAGACTTATTGGTGAAAAATACAAACACCTTCATTTTATTGTCATTATATTTACCTATCAGATTTCTTGATATTACGTTAATTTACACAAATATTTTATGTTGCAGGACAATTCCAATAACAGAGAAATGGATGTATTAAAAGATCAAGTTTCAGAGCTAAGGGAAAAGTTAAAGACTGCCTACCTTCATTTAGATGAAAGTGAAGAGAAACATAGATTAAAAGTAGAAAGTTTAAGTAAAACTATTTTGTCAATAGAAGAGAAACATAAACACCGTATTTTTGAAATGGAACAAGAACATCAGAAATCAATAGCTGAGTTAGAGATGGCTGTCAAGAAACAACGTGATAGAACTGTTTCAATGTTGGCTGAGAAAGAAAAAGACTTAAATACTCTAAGAACCACTGCCCTTGCTAATGACTTTGTTTCTCCCAACCAGGAACCTGTAAATTATTCTAGTTCTCATGCCCTTACTAAACAGAATTCAGAAGAAGAGGAAGCTGTGTCTAGATTATTATTTAAAACTAGTGCCAATGAAGAGACAAATATACTGCATTTCTCTCAAGAACAGGCACGTAAAGATGTAGAGGTAGCATCATTAAGGAAACAAAAGCGTCAATTAGAAATGAGTTTGAGAGAACTACAGCTGTCAGCAAGTGCTAAGGAAGAAAAACTCCATGATGAACTAGAAGGATTAAGAGAAGTAATACATAAACATGAACGTGATATTAATAGGGAAGGGGCTAATTTGGAATATTTAAAAAATGTTATTTATAAATACATGATCAGTGGGGACTCATTAGGTAAACAGAAAATGTTGAAAGCTATAACAACTATATTGCAGTTTAGTCCTAAAGAAATCGATAAAGTCAATTCTGTAAATAAGGGATGGATATAATAGCACAGCATTGTGATGAAACAGTTCTGAAAATTTGCAGGGGAGGTGTCCTGAAAATTTTTGAAACAATGATGGTTATGGTTCTTATATAGACCTACACATTTGGGACCAGTGATATATAGGATCTATGTTACCTACATAGACATTGGTTTCCATTAGGGCTTTTGGTTATTTAGTGCTGTATTCTCTGATCAGTAACAGCAGTCAGTTTACCAATATGAACAAATGCAATATAGCAATCACTTTCAATCAAAACTGTTGTCTTCCATGTTTATAGATTCAAATGAAAATATTTTTCATTAATATATTATAATCATATCGCAATTTGTTTTAGGCATGGTTATTATTGGTTTTTGACAACATTATTTTTGTTCTCTAACAAAATTTTATATATTAGAAAGCTATGATTGTCTATCAAAAGCAATGCATACTTGTTTTTGTTTCTTACATAAAGTGACTTGTTAAAAATTGTATAGACAATCATATCTGAACAAAGAAAGTGAACAGTATATCATGGAAATCACCATAATTATATATATAAGGATAAGGTGATATTTCAGTATTTTCGAATGGGTCGATATTACTAATGCTATCAATCCTAGACCAGTATTTATCATGATCAGGATATATTGTCCAGTCCTACTTCCATGTATCTTTTAAGATAGAGCTATTATAATATGGGTGTTATATTGCACTTGAAATTATTCCTATTATGTACTGTTAAATCTATTTGTTCTGTGTTATAACCTTGGTAAAATAAATGGTTATTGGTATAATTTTTGTGTTGTCTAGATTTGAACATGTTAATTGTACAGGTATGTTAATCTATTTCAATTCAATGGTTTTTGTGGAAGTCTTAGATTAAGACATAAAACCAAATGAACAGATTTTAAACATTAACCTAAGACTCATTTCTGCGTGAAGAAATTTAACTGTTGTCCAATGGTTTAGTAATGCATAATTATGTCCCCTAGAAAGATCTTTACGATAAAGTTAAATTAAACCTACCTATTGTAAACTTCCGGTCAGCGTGTAAAAAGGAATAGAAATATTACAAAATGGTAAAAAAAAAAGTATTCGGAACTGTTTAGAACCCAGATACGTTTTGTACTAACCAATGAAATTGATTATATGTAAATTGATAGATATCACGTAACAGACAAACTTTGCTATGGATGAGAATGAATCCTCTCTAATGACTCTTATATTAGCTTAGAATCACTACAAGTACAAGAATGAAAATGAAATGTATTAAGGTGCATCAGCACTAAACGGGCGATATAGCACTTGAATATAGAATAGAATATAATCAACAACTTAAATGTAGTTGACTGGTTACACAAAGATTGATGAGTAGATTTAGAGCTTTGGTTTTGTTTAGGGTAGAGAGTCAAATTATCTTCAAATAATGAGTAGATCACTGAAAATCATCCAATATTATTGAATTTATTTCTCTACCAACACATTAGTTAACCTTTTATTGAAATTTTCGCTTATGGCAAGAAATTTTATGCCTTTTTTTTTTAATTACATGATTAAAACAAGGATTTTTGTTTATAATATTGTATTATAACATTGGAATATAACAAAATACTGGTATATACAGTGGTGTAACCTATTTTAGTGCGTATAAGGATTCAACACCGAATTTTGTCAGAATAAAAAAACACAAATTTTCTTTTTAATGTCTTAGAAGTTTCTTAGATATTCTACAAAATAATTTCAAAATTTTTTTTTGATTTTCTTAATGAATTCCTCACCTTGACCCATATTTCATGACTCATGAGTAACCAACTCGACAATGGCTGCAAAATGCGTCACCTATTTTCGTGTACAATGTTTGATCTATAAATAAGTCAAGAAAAACTCGTTGTATGGATACCCAGTGGTATAATGAACTTCTAGTATTTATCTTTAATAATATTTCATTATAACTAATGACAATTCCTTCAAAGAATAATGATTTAAAAAAGAAAATAGTGACTGACAAAAAAAAAATAATAAGTAAAACGTAAGAGTGATTTATTGCTCAAAGTCATTGAAACAACTTAAGAATAACATTGTGTTCCATGGAATTTTTCTACTGACACAGAATCCGCTAGTTTATCACGGGCCTTTTTCATTATACTACATTCTAGCAGATGACCTTTGGAATTCCGATTACAGCGTGGGATTATAAGGAAATTTGGCCGATAAAAATTGTGACATTTGGTAATAACTGAAATCCGCCATTTTGTATTTGTCAAAGTAAACATTAATACATTTTACCTTGCTTGAAACTACTGGATTCATTCTACTAGCTTATATTGTACAGAAAACCCATGTTTATCAAAACAAGCAAATGTCGAGGTCGCACATGTCAATTATTAATTATTTTCGGAGATGCACGAAAAATAGGTTAGCACAAACTTAGGTTACTTGACTGTATTATCAAGGAATGGGATACCAGAGTACCAGTATGAAGAATTAATTTTATTTTCAGGGTAAAATAAGACAAATGCAGCAAAAGTTTGCTGCAACAAAGAGAAGACTAAGTCTGAAAGATAGTAGAATGTTAGTTTATAGTCTTTATATATTCTTAATAGTCATAAATCATTGCAACAGATTCTTTATTTGATAAAGCACACTGGGGATTTTTAGAAATTGGTTCATTTTTTATTTTTAAAGTCTTTATTGCAAAGGTTATTTATGATCAATAGAAATATTAATCATTTTAGTGACAGACATTTTAATTACAAAGGGTGTTACTTTTTGATGTTAAAGAAGTATGTTGTCTTCATGTGACCTTAGCCAGTGCTTCTTTAGGAGAGTCTCTTCTGTAACACCCAACACTGCCTTGATTAGTATTCTTTTTGTTCTCAAACTATAATTATGTGAAATTACATCTCTATCTTTAAAAATTCTTTTTGTATTTGTCAGTAAAAAAGATGATAGAATTATAAAAGATAAAAAGAAGAAGAAAGTTCCAGAAATGAAAATCAAGCAACAGTGAGTTAAAAACTTTTTATTAGTTAAGCTTGATGATGCTTAGTTTGATATTGATATTGAATGAAATTAATCTTAATGAAATAGTCAGTTAACAAGCAAAATGACTTGCCATTTGATTTGTCTACATGTAGTTCAAGGGCTAATTTGTTTTGTTCATTTTTGTTTTCCTATTTTTGATTAGGTAGTTTTAGATGTTTTGTTAAACAAAATATGGCACATGTTTGTTTTATTATTTTAGGACAAAATCATCATCAGCACTGTTTTTTAATTACAACACACAATTAGGTCCTCCTTATCATGTATTACTGGATACCAACTTTATTAATTTTTCTATTAAAACCAAATTAGATGTGTTTAAATCAATGATGGATTGTTTATACGCTAAATGTAAGTTGGTATATTTTGACCATATTTTGTTTGCCTGATAATTTTTTCTCTAAATTCTCATTGTCTTTTGTTCAATATTGATGGTGTATTACACACAATAGCATTTGGTGTAATTACAAATTGTTGTACATTGTGATGATAGTTCCTGGCACATACTCTTGATCCTGCTGCTAGAAAGTGCCATAATTGCATGGAAAGGACAACTAACGATCTTATCTGTGGTAAAAAAAAAAAACATATTCACAATTTTTATCTCATTGTAATGTAACTTGCTCTTTAAGATGTCACATAATGAAACATCTTGCATTGTTCATGTGAATTAACCACTTCAAATTCTGTTTTCAGGCATACCGTATATAACAGATTGTGTGATGGGAGAATTGGAAAAATTAGGCAGAAAATATAAAGTAGCATTAAGGTAAGGAGACTGGTTTTCGCAATGTTCCTGTAAGTGTAAGTGAGAAAGTTTTTAGTTTTACTAACTGCAGCCAAAGTTGATGTGTATGTTTTTGTAGCAGAAAATATTGTACCATGGTAATTCATTCTAAAGAAAATTTTATTTTATATTTTAGAATTATCAAAGATCCAAGATTTAAAAGATTACCATGTTTACATAAAGGTACCTATGCTGATGATTGTTTAGTACAGAGAGTAACAGAGGTAGATACATTTTTAACTTTGTTTATCAATTGACCCAAAACCATGCAAAATACAATCTTAACAAAATATGATTACTATAGGTGCCTACAATTATTAACAGAAATTCCTGCAATTGACACAATTATTGCTTACTTTATCTTTTAACTTAGAATTATTATGAATTAAACATTATCACACTTGATGTAGTTTTTAAAAATTTGGGCTGTTAATGTTGCAAATTCTAATACTTTTGGCTTATCCTGATGTCTTAAAGATCAAAAACAAAGTGTGGCATTATGGAACTTTCGTCAAAATTGCCTGGGAAATTTAATTAAAATGTATTTCAGATAGATGATTTTCTTTAAGATTAAAAAAGATGTTCATAAAATATATTCATGTCTATTTATATTTTTATAGCATAAATGTTATATAGTAGCTACCAATGATAAAGATTTAAAAAGAAGAATAAGAAAAATACCAGGAGTTCCTATAATGTACACAACAAGAAGGAAGTAAGTCTATTTTATTATTATTTGATGAATTACAAAGCTTTTTTGCTGGACAGGACTATGGTTTGCTTGTGACTATCTGTTGATAACTAAAATCTTGAGATAGGTAATAAGATAGTTTTTTAGCTGAAGTTTTGGAGTGTCTATCACCAGGTTCAGAAAGCTCTCATTACTCATATTAAAGCTGAAAGAAGTTTTCCTACTTGTTTGAGATGTTATTTTTTTTTCTAACATTGATGCATCATTTTTTTTTCAGATATTCTATAGAAAGAATGCCAGATGCTTATGGTGCACCAAGTGTCTAATCATTAAATATTCATTTTGTATGTATATTATGTAAATAAACCATGTGTATAATGACAGTGGTTGTCTATTTTTTGCTTTCTTGAACATGTATTTGCTTGACATATCTTTGGATATCTATATAAAAGTATGAGTCAGATCAATGAATGCTAGTCGTTTGGATGATAAATCTCTTTGATGGGTTTGAAGACCATCTGATGGACATTACTAATCAAAAGATGTTAGTTGTGGACTGAATGTTAATATTCAACAATGTTTATATTGATATTCTCCACAATAGGAGGTATGATTTTGTTTTTGGAAGAGTTTGGAAAATCTGATGATCAAGAATGTATATAGCACTTTGGATCATGGATTTCATGTTCACCACAGAAGAAAAAAAACGAAACGCATCGTCTAGATCTGCATTTTAATTCTTCTGCACTATGAAATATACAAAAAGGCCAGGCCAGTGCATCATAGAAATCACTGTGGCATGGACTATTATCATTTTAAGTGTGGTCTGAAACTTAAGGGAGACTACTCTTAATATGTTAATCTTTTGTCGCGGAGTACAGATTAGTCTTAAAAATATAAACACGCTTACCTAAATCTATTTCTCGGTATATTTGCAATTTTCATCACCAATTGATAAGTGAATTGTATGAGATGAGCAGATTATTTCATCGTTTGAAAAACGTGTTAGTGTACAATTTACCTAAAAAGGTAACAGAAAGACGAATTGTCAATCAAGGTCAGCCGTATAAATATAAAGTATCAGAAACTCATTTTATAACAATTAGAAACAGCACAATCACATCAAAAACAGGAATCCTTCATTCATCTAAAAACAATTTTGTTACAAAATATTTTCACTGGATAAATTATTTCACCATGGCAGAAAAAAATGATGTAATGGAAATTTATGAGTTACCACAAGGTATAAAAGGCATGAAAACATTAGATAAATCTGCATTTAGGAAAATTTGTAAAGTTTCGGCATTGAAACTGCACTGTAAAGATATCAGCAAAGTGAAAACGAAAATTTTAAAGAAAAGAATGTTAAAGATACAAAAGGTAAAACCAGTGATAGAATTAGATGACAATGACCCAGATAAAAATACTCATAAACTGATTTTATTTAAACCTGAAATAACGACTGCAGATGATTTCACACAAGAAGAGAAAAGTATTTTTAAAGGAAATGATATCCATTATGAAAAATTAGAATTTTATGATTTAGAACTTAGTTTTGATAATTTAAGTGCTAAAGAGGTTATTCGTGCTATATTACCAGATGATATAATTGATAGTGTGTCTGGATTTTCAATTATTGGCCATATTGCACATTTGAATTTAAAGAGAGAAGTTTTAGATTACAAGCATATTATTGGTAAGTTGAAATAACTTCAATCAATAGTTTCAGAGCTCTGTTCATTTATTAGATTAGCAGGAATGGAAGAGGAATGGTATTACCCTAGTTACGAAGCAAGATCATGTTGAAGTGGCCAAAAATTGACATATGAAAATGAGTGAAGGCCAGTAAAAATTAAACCCTCTGAATGCTCAACATTCATCTCAGGCCATCTGCATTCTGTGGACCCCATACAGCATTGTCTCTAATCTAGAATGGAGTTGCTTCCCTTCATGCAGTACGGTAGTTTAAGTTGTTTTTTACATGATACTTGTTATATTTCAGGAGAGGTAATCCTAGATAAGAATTCTCACTCTGGTATAAGAACAGTAATTAATAAACTAGATTCTATTGATAATACATATCGCAATTTTCAAATGGAATTATTAGCTGGAGAAGAAGATTATGTGACTGTTTCAAAAGAAAATGATTGTTCTTTTCAGTTTGATTTTTCTAAAGTCTATTGGAATACAAGATTAGGTTAGTTTATCATTTTGGTTTTGTATTGTATTCAAAATGCATCTAAAAAAAAGAAAATACTGTGTACGATACAGCAATATTTTGGAATGATTTCAATGAATTTTACAGAGTATATAGCACATCCTGCACATCTTGTATGTTAAAATAGACTTTGTATCAGATAAGAGTTCAGGAAAGTAAGATAGGTGTAACTAACAAGTTGATCATTCCTCATCTCGCATTGTGATATTTAGTAGAGTTGTTAAAAGGTTGATGTTACAACTTAAACTTAGTTCAATAAGATCTTGTTATTAAAATGTGTTTATTTCAATACACCTTCTAACTAATTGTCATTATTTACCTGCTACAGCTGTGATGACAAACGAACGTTATCATGTAAAAGAGAAAGTTAGAATACGTGGTCAATTTCATTTTCTAAATACAGTGAGTCTCAGTTTACAAGTATTAGTACATGCTAGCCTGCAATTTTTGATGTGGATACAATTAGATTCATCGCCCTTATACATACAAAACTTGTTACTATATTGTTAACAAGTGACATGAACAATGACCCCACCACACATTGAATATAGGTAGCAACATCTGTGAATTGTGTGTGCCTTAGAGGAGAAAAACTAGGGAAATATTTAGTTACAAATACAATACTCAACAAAATGAGATGACAATGTGATGTTGACATAAGAAAATTAACAGATACCTATTCTATCACAGCTTGTTTTTGCCATTGTGTAGAAATGAGAAAGAAGAAGATTGTGGTTTAATGCTATTAGTCTTAGCAGCTGAAGTATAGTATAGCTGAGACTAATTTTGGCGTGTGTTTTGTACTGAATTAATTGAAATGAATTTTATGAAATAGTTAAGTACAATTGATATTGAAAATTATTCCCCACAAAATCATCGTAAAAATTAAACTTGTGCCATGAAACAATTTTTACAGACCTTGTTAAGTAAAAAAATAATGTCCTCAACCTCAAATAATAATTGTATCATTATGCCCTCATATATTTATTTTACTATTTTGTATCCTTAAATAATTAAAATATTTTTGTCCTCAGATAATTAAATTTAAAAATTTCTGAGTCTGTAAATGACAGGTTATACTCTTTCTCCTTTAATAGTTTTATATATGTATCCTTCTATAATTTATAACATTATACTTCATAAAAAAATTATATTATATATATAATTATTAAAACTCACTGTCCCAAAGTAAGGGTTAGTAAATAATTATGACCTTTGTAGCCTTGAATAACATCATATCCTCAGAAAAGATATCATTATTGTATGTCGTCAAATGTAAATCATATATCCTCAAAAATTAAATGATAACTTAACATCTTCAGAAAGAGAATCACAATCTCTGAATAAAGTCTTTATGTTCACAATTTGATCATAATTTTTGATAGATAACTAATATTTTTATTGCAGTTGGTGAACATAGGTATATAGTTGATTTGTTAGAGAAAACAGATGTGTTATATGATGTATTTGCTGGAGTAGGTCCTTTCTCTATACCTGCAGCTAAAAAAGGTGTAACAGTTCTAGCTAATGATTTAAATCCTGATTCGTACAAAGCTTTAAATGACAATATAACTTTAAATAAAGTTAAACCTGACAAAATACAGACTTTTAATATGGATGGAAGAGATTTTATTTGCAATGTGGTGAAACAAGATTTTAAGAAACGATTAGAAAATCAGGATTGTGAAAATGAATTTCATTTAACTATGAACCTACCAGCTTTAGCTATTGAGTTTATGGATGCGTTCAAGGATTTATTTAAAGATGAAGAAATTGCCATAGCTCCAGAGAAACTTCCAGTGGTACATTGTTATTGTTTTACAAAAGATACTGAAAATGCTGAGAAAGATGTTATAGAACGTGCTGAAAGTATTATTGGTATGAAATTACCAGCCGAGTGTAAAGTGCGATATGTCAGAAATGTGGCACCAAACAAAGAAATGATGTGTATAAAATTTAGATTGTTTCCAGAATTGGTCTCCTTAGTTACAGGTAGGTGAAGTTGAATTTAGTCAAGATATTGCAGAGGGATGAAAAACGGTTGAAGAGTTTTTAACCAGTTGACTCAGCTATAAATGGGTTAACAGCATTGCACAGAGGCTTGGTAGTTGATCATCTGGTAGAAAGGTTTCTAGACATCATAAGTTGTCAGCTATATAAAATGTTTGTTGTTCCTTTCTTTTTGTAAAATATCTGTCCATAAAAAAATTCACTATATTTGTATTTCTTCTTTCATATATTTAGGATAAGGTATCAATATATTTGATTCTGTTGATACACTTTGTCACAGTTTATGATTATTATTCATTAGGATTAACTGAAATTTCCATTTTAGATGAACCTGAATCAAAGAAACAGAAATTGTCATGAAAAATCAGATAAAGACAGTGGTTATAGGAATTTTAAAAAGAAATATGTAACATGACTTGAGTTGTTTAAGTGAAAGGTATTGAGTGGTAAAAATGAAAATGTATCAATGACACACTAAAACTTTTTGTCAACATGTTTCTCTTTCTGGTTTGCTTGTTTTCTTTCTGACTTTTGTATCTTATAAAACAATAAATATGTGAAGGTCTCTTTGATGTAGTTGACTTCAATTATACAGACTTGATTCGTAGATGTCTTGTAAAATATTACAAATCAACAAGATAACCTTTAACTAAGAAGTATTGAATGTTTCAGTCATTTGTTCAAATGACCAGCTGGACCTTACATCAAAAAAACAGTTAGTTGTAGTCTTGTTTACTGTGACAGGCTAAACACTCTACCAGAAAGCACGATGATTAGCATCCTACAGTTACATTTTAAGTGAATGTGAGATTCCAGAAAAAAAAAACTAGACGCTGAAAAAATGCACAAAAAGCAACACTTTATCTACTATCCCGTTTATTGAAAACTATAATTTTAAAACCTTATTCTGTAGATTGTTAAAGCTTGGAACAAAAACCAAGAAGTACTGTGATCTTTAATAATTTTAGGAGATTTTGCCATAAATAAAGCAAATTGTTGGTGTTGCGAATGAGGAATTTTCACCCCCCTTGACAATTCCCAGCTTGGCCCCCCCCATCACCTAATGATGCATAAAAACGCCACTGCTAGGCTGATGAATAAGATAGAGGTTTCTAGCCAAAGTTATTGTATGACTAATCAAGGTTTATTTTATTTCTAAAAGGTGTTAGTGTATCTATACCAAAGTAAACAAATTGGTGTGACCAAAGTTTCCAAACGGGTGATAACCTTAAAATTTTAGGATTGTGAATTGTTTGTCTTTGATTTACTTTCTTAACGAATTTCTTTAAATTGACGTGTAACAATCTGACGGACACAGGCAAGTAGTGGTCAGTGGTAGGATTGTTAGGCATGACTAAAATTTCGATTTCACAATACGAAGACACCTGTATCAGAAACGAAAACGCGAAAGAATTTGAATCATCTGTTGCCTTCTTGGGGAATTTCTACATTCAAACATGTTTCGGGCTGTTCAAAGTACAGGGAATGTGTGAATAATTATCTTGTAATTGAATGTATTGTAGTTGAGCAGTACCTGGTCAATACCCAATGTTAACATGCCACCCAAATACTTCCTTAGGTGTGCATACGATGGTCAAAGTTGTTACATTTTCAAGAAGATGAGATGATCCCGAAATATCTTTGATACCACTCTTGAACCCTGTAATCCTTAAATGACGTAATCTTTGTTTAAAGTCGTGAAATAGATACACTCCTTCTACACAGAGAATCAAAGATTTAAACAGAAGTCTCAAGGGTCAACTAGTGAGTTATTATGTTATTTTTAACAAATTTACCTTCCTGAATAGATGGTTACAACGTTTCATAACACGGAGTAAGCAACCAAATTAGGCCTACGTAATATTTTCAGTGCTCTTAATAATGGACACATCATAATTCCACGTAAACTATAATATTGATCATTCGGTTAATCAAATCTTCAATATGCTGAATCCTGTGGCTGTAAATACGAGACTTCTGAATATAGTTTGCTCGGGTACATTCTTACCAATTCACCGTGTGGCCTTTTTATTTTAACCATATACCTTGAAACCATTTTCCATCAATTAGAATTCATCTACATCTGGGCACGTTTAAATATATTTGGTGTATTTAATCTGGTGCTTGACAACGGATTTTTCTTTGTTATTTGTAGCCATATGTTATAACAATATTAGAGAATATTACAGAAAAATAACTGATTTTTCAAAACCATTTCATTATACAATGGTCACTGTTAAACTAACATAGAAATAGAACAACCAAATTTAAGAGCTCATCACAAGAGTTGACAGACGACTGCTAAATCTGACTGAATTGTGTTAATCCAGTTCTGAAATCGTAGCACGATACGCTAACTGGTAACGCGCACCTGCTAATAACAAGATTTGAAGAGTCGCACGTTCTGAACATTATAAAACTTTTCTTCGTATAAGCCGCAAAGAAACATCTTTTCACAAAGTTTTCAAACTTGGGCAAGGAAAAAAAAAGTACTAATTCCTTTCACAAGTAACATTCTTTACTCTTGTGTAGTTAAATTGGAAGGCACTTAGTTCACAGAAACCATACGAATTACTTGGGAGAGTAAATTATACCATTGAGAGGAGCTGTAGCTCTCACAATACCCAACCTTTGCTAATAGAGAGACCGTTGCGGACGTGTCTAGGACAGATAGTGTGATTTCAAATACGAGCATTTGAAAACAAACTATGTATATGAAATATAAGAGTCGAATGTATTCCATTGATGACCAAAGAGGATCCTCTTTAAATTTAACGAAAATGCTTAGTACAGGCTGTAGGAATATGAATTATTGTTATGAACAGAAAGAGCACCATCCCAATCATTTGAAATAATCTTTACAGGTGACAAGTTGATATCTATTGATGGGTAAGAAATAATATTTTATTGGTCACATAACAGGGTGGGGTGTTTGTTGGTATACTAACCCTATAAAACTAACTGTCCTCTCCTTATCACGTTTACAGAGCAACAATAGTATTGAAACTTGCACTTCTCCATTTCAGTCAATATTAAGGCGTGATAAACAGTGATCATCTTGAGTGTGGGCTTAATTCGGATTAATCGAGGTATTTGTAATATTTGGAAAATTCAAGGCGTTTTGAAATTGGTGTGTACCAAATATAGTCGTTCAATATCATCGACAAAGGAGAATGCTTCTTCTAGCAGTTCTGGTAGCTTGAACAAACGTCTGACGAAATCATCGATGGTGTTGGTGTTTGGTTATACCTCATCTCTCTGATACTTTGTAGAACAGCAGAAGTTCTAAAATCATAAATCTATTAATGGATTATTAAATGCCTCTGCATATCACATCCTGGAAATTAAGTACGAGAATTTTCGAGGGAAGGAATTCTCTATTATGTATAAGATACTACACTTTGTTATGGTTTCTTGTGAATACTAATAATAAAGTTTTGTGACATTTTGAAATTGATAAGAAAAAGTCGGCGATATTTATCCTTTATTTTAACACTATGTTGACTAATTATACATGTTTTGCCACCACACGAAAACTTTCTAATATTTAACAAGAGAAATGAATGAATTTAACAGTAGAATGATAGATAGCAAGAAACGTTGTGACATTTACTAATTCTTAAAAGCCAGTAATATGTCAAGGGTTGGTCGAAAGACGGTAACAAGTTTCACTCACAAATGATTAGGAACACCTTTCACGTGCTATCTGGTCGTAGGTTTATAAATATTTTCTCTCAACAAAGCGCGGGCCATGCAGATGTGACAAAATCTTTACAAAAAAGATGCCTCGGTTTCTTTTAACGGAGCACGTGCATATGAAGACGGTGTTAAGAAACGTGCTCTTGGTGAATAGAAGCTTTATGGTAATTCGTCTCCAAAGATTTAAAGCAAAGTTGATACATTAGGTTTCAATTTCAGCCTGCTTGACGAAAGTCAACCACGATACAAACAGTTTGCTCGGTAAATACCTGGGCCTTTGATAGAAACTTCTAGTTCAAATATTGTGCTTCGTTTGTCAGCTTGTTCCCGCTGAGGGAGCCGTAATGCGGATTAAAGCGATTAGCATTGAAAGACTGTAACAACAGGTGTGTAAACTCTGTACAGATCATCATCTTGTCGTCCTTAACCTATTTACAACTTTACTTATAAACATCTAATTAAAACCATCCTTTCATTTGATACATACTACACTATATCGGGTGGCCCAGAAAAAAAAACGAAAACAGGATTATTCATGAAGTATCAAAGCAAAGATCATAACCCCATAATGGTAGATATATTAGACTTCTTTTCACAAAAAAAAATTGGTTTCATAGGTTGAACCACAGCATGCAGCATGTTTAAAATTCCTTGTCAAAAATTTCAATGCCGAAATTTATCATTGTCATTTCACTAACTATCGATGGCAAAAAGTGGAGTTAATATCAGAACAATTTTCAACACAATCTGCCCATAAACACTTTCTAAGACAAAATTATCTGTGGATTCAGAAATTTGGAGTATCTAATGTGAAAAGATGAATGACCTATCCTCACCCATCTCCTGGTTGCAATCCAGGACTTGCGAATTTTAAGTTGAGAAAAAAATCTTGAAAATTATTCTGGCATGGAAAGAGCATTAATTACTGAAAATGGTCGTCACGTAGCCCATTTGTTCATTTAAAGATGAAATTAAATTAAACTGAAATTACCAAAATACTCGGCATTGCAAAATCGGCATTGAAATTTTTGATAAGGATTTTAAACATGCTGCCGTTTCAAAGTGGTTCAACCTATGAATCTCTTTTGGTGAAAAGGCGTCTAATATATGTATGAGATAATGATTTTAGCTTTGATACTTCATGAATAATCCTGAAATTAAGACTGTTTTTTTTTCCACCTAAGAATTGTTTTGTTTATCGCTAATATTTTCATTGATTGATGTTATTGTTTTTTGTGATGAGAAACATGTATTTTTCTCACTTTCAATAAGTTGAAATTTCCGGAATATT